AAAACACGAAAGAAATATAGTTATTATAACTATCTTTCTACGATTTATTTATATGGTTTCTTCTTGAGTATTCTTACTTTTCCTTTTTAAAAAAAAATAATTCAAATTCATCTTACACTATTAAGAAAGATTACAATACTTTTGTCTTATTATAAGTTTTTTTTAATAAATTTTTCTTTGACCTTTATTTTAGTATTTTGGCATGTTTACTTTTTAGATTGCATTTAGGTTAACACGTGTAGTTTTTAGGGTAAAGATGATTTTTTTGTCATTGGAACGTAATTCTTTATTTAATTTGTTAATTTGACTATTAATTGAGTTAAAAAAATTAAGATTTTTGGAGCTATTAATAATTAGAGTGAGAATGCGCTAAGGGATTTTTATTTTTTAAATTTCATAATACTTTAGGTTAAAGGATGTAATAGAGTGATTTGATTATTAAATTATAAAAAACATTTGAATTATAGTGAAGATTATGATAATTGTTTTTCTTATGTAAAATTGGCGACTAAAGAATTTTCTTAAACGACGGCGCTGAGGGGGTTGAACTATGTCCATCAACATGATTAAACGATGATGAAGCAGAAATTAGAGCCATAATTAAACTATATTTTCTTATATTCCTAAAAACTCATTCTTTATCATGTGGACTATTAAATGTACAAATAAAAGCATGTTAATGTTATTATGTATAGCATGAAAAATAAACTAGAATTTATTTATTAAGTTTTTTAGACAAGAAAAAAAGTAAATAATAATATATTTAGGTATGAGAAAGGGAATGGGGTGAGATGGAGATGGTTGGTGCATAGTATGAAGTAGAGGCCACAAGTAGATTGAGACATCATGGGTCACATCTAAACATTGCATTACATGAGAGACATCATGAAAGTGAAATCCAAAGAATACAAAGCAATAATGACTTTTGCATCCATCCAATGTTGGGTTTTGGAAACCGATTTTTTTTATTTTTTAAATCACATTTTAAATAAGAATGAAAAAGTAAGTAATATATTAAAATTTTTAAATATTTGTTATCTTCAAAATACTTAACTATATACATTGAGCTGGGCCTGGGTGCAGTTGTATTGGCCCATTGGATTCAGACCCATCCTAAACCACAGTGCATTTAATATTAATGTGACTTTTTTAGTCTCTCATTATCTTCCAAAACCACTATGATTAAATAATATTTCACGCTAGAATCTAAATTATGATTTTAATGACAAATTAGGTAAATAATTTCACCCATAATTGAGTGTTAAGCTCGACGAATAGTCGGGTTAAGAAAAGGTTATCTTATATCCATTAAATTATTTTTAAGAAAAAACATTATTTTATGTAGTTTTTTCACATCTTTTACAGTTTGTGAAAAAAAAAATTCTGATTCGAAAGAAAAATAACGAAATAATAGAAAGGTACGATAAACATTATTCTCTTTTTAATAGCATTTGATTATGACGTTTTCCCTATAATGAAAGGTTAATTTCTTGGATTTAATAGTGTGAAGTGCAGTTTATAAAAAACAAAGTAATTTTTGTTAATTGAAAATTAATTATTAAGATTATATCAAAGTATATGTATTGTTAAAATAAATATTTTAAAATCTCGATCAATACTCTTTATTTCTCACTTTTATAATTTAGTTGAAAAAAAAATTAACTTTTAAATAATTATTAAAAATTTATTCAAAATTAAGACAACTTGATAATAATTTATATCCTTCTCTTATAACATATCCATTCATAAGAGGCTTTCAAGACGAAGACACTGAAATGTATTATACATTTATAACGACACTACTAAACAGTATTATAAAGTAAATTTAAACTTAATTTATTTTTACAAAATAAAATTTTATTTTGTTTATTCATAAATAATGTGAGTAATTTTCAACCTTCGAATTAGTTTGAAAGTCAACCTTAAAACCAAAATGTGTTGTGATGTAGCTTTACAAAATTCATGATTTAACTAATAAAGACAACTGAATAATCTTTATATTCGTAAATATGTATATCTATATAAGCATTTTTAGAAGAAGAATAAAATAAGGTCAAATTAACTTACTCATCAATTAAAAATAAAATTTTGGAAAATTAATACTAAATAACTTAACTTTTAGATTATAAATTACAGAGAAATTAATTTGTGTTTTATTTTTATTTTTCTCCTGAATAAAACCCAATAAACATCACATTATAAATGTCCACAATAATATTATCACGTAACTTTAATTGCAAAGTTTTTAGTTTAATATATAAAATATAATTTATATAAAGGTTTTATTTTAAGCTCATACAATCCTTGGGGAAGCCCGCATTGCGCCATTTGATGAGCCCATTAGGCCCAACATCTCTATGGATCCCAGAAAAGCAAACCTTAGAATTTCTAATGACCTAAAAAATAAAAGGCAACACGATAAATACAATTTTTTTTAATGACCTTAGCATGTTAATTTTCAGTATAAGTTTATATATATTAATATTATTCCGTTATTATTAGTGTTAATTTATTCTTACTTTTTTTAACTTAAGTTAATATTGTTATTTCTATTATTATACTCTTTAATTAAAAAACAAGGGTAATGTTAGTGATTTTTGTTTTTAAATTCTGTGGCGGCTAGTGTTTGGATGGTGAAAATAAGGTTTTTACGTGAAGTTGAACGTGGTTCGTGTCCTTCTTCCATGACCATTTCAAGAAACGAGAAGCATTCTATTGCGTAACTCACCAATCTACCACCATAATATAATTTAATAATATTTGTCCTTTAAATAAGAATGAGAATTGGTCAAAGAAATCATAATAAAATCATTATATCAATTTTTACCTGAGATATTATTTAATATAAAATTTTCATGATTTTATTTTTAAGAAGAATATTTTTAATGCAAGTTTTTAATAAAAATTGATTAAAAATAAAAATAAATATTTTATTATAATTTGACATCTAAGTTATTTTACTTAAATTATAAAAAAATACTTATAAAAACAATTCTAACTAAATTTTAAATAAGCTTATAATAAAATATTTATATTTATTTTTAAATAATTCTTATTAAAAATTCTCTTTAAAAATATTTTTATATAAATTTAATCTTATTTTTAAATAATATAAAATTCATGAAACATTAAATATTTTACATAATTAAATATTTTTAATTGACAAACTAAAGTACTACAGAATAATCAATTAATAGTGAAATATTAATAAACCTAAATTTCGTATTTTATTTTATTTTTCACACAAACCTTTTTTTTTCCTACCAATCTTTTGAGTCGTAGAAGACCTAAAAGTAGTTGATGTAATCACTGCACGTGCACAACCTTGACTTGCTACATATTTTTCTTCGTAGTCAAAGGACACACCTTTGCCTTCGTTTGTTTCTGGAAAGAAAAATTCTCCTCCTAATTTAATACTCTCCACGTACAGTATCTGATTTCTCAATGGCTTAAATATTTCATTTAATTCTAATTCATTAACTTTCTTGTTACATTCCAATGCATTCATTGACTTCAAACTTAATAATAGTCCATCAAAAAGTGTATAGTTTAAGAAAATTTTATTGAAATGTTTATCTAAAAAATTGTTTAAAATATTTTTTTTATTAGAATAATAATTAATATGATAAATCATTTAAAAAAAATTGTAAATTAACTTACGAAATAATTTAAAAGATAATACAAATGTGAATGAGTAAAGAAAATGAATTATTTTTTATTTTTAAAGAATTCTTTATTAAAAAAATTAAATATGAATTATTTAATCATGATGTGACAAATTTTTGAACCCTGTTCTTATTTATTAAAAAAATATCATTCTATCTTACACACACATATATATAACATTATATACGCACAATGCAAATTATGAATGTCTTAAGTTCGATTAGTTGATTTTTTTATGAAAAAAAGAATTCGAATATTTTGAATAAATTAGTTTGATTTGGTAATTTGTTATTAACGCAAGTTGTGATGATTCAACAAGTTTGATTTATATTTTGAATTAAGAAAAGAATAAGTTAAAATTCAAGTTCATTTGTTCAAATAATAATTCCTTTTAACATAAAGATGTCTTATTGTGCAATATATAAGCAAGAATAAAATGAAATCTAAGAAGATATTTAAAGTGATGGACGCGAATACTGTCTTAATTTTTAATTTGTGTCTTAATTTATAGCAGATTTATTTCTTAATAATACACAAGCTATCATAAATATATATTACAGACACATCCTTAACTTAATGCAATTTGTTTACTAACAAATACCAGATAATAGACCAAAAATCAGAAATACATATACAATAATCATATTCTTTAATTCACAACAGATTTGTTTTCTCATCTATAATTATTCCCAATAAATTATTAAAGTCACCAGCCAACAAGCCTTAAATTACAAGATAAATATCTGAATCAAAGATAATTGATTTAATTAATGTAATTCAGTTAAAACCAAACATATAAACAAAGTCAAACTACAATAATGTGTTTAGTTTTGAGTTTTTGAATTGATTAAAATCAGTAGATACCCAAAATGAAAACTGTATATACTCTAATTAATTGCGCGTTATAATTTCCTTGGTGAGATCTTCTTCCTTTGGCACGCTATTGAATTATCGACATCGTGAAAGGGAAGTTCTGTTTGTTTCTTATACAAATAGTAGGCTTGTGGACGTTGTGAAGTACTTTATTTTGACCATTATTATTCATAATAATACTATGATGATTCGTGTGCAATTTTTAAAAAATTGATTTACGTCATTTCCTTTAAAAGATTGCATAAAAAATTCATTGAAGGGAAAAAAGTAAGATGGAAATAGGATTAAATTGGACGCAGTCATAGAAGTTGTTTCGCTGCCATTCTTGGTTGTAATTAAGAAGAAACTTCGAGGAAAGTAGAAGTCGTGAATTTCCTATGAATTGCACGTATGACTAATGAATCTATAAATTGAGAGAAGGCACAGAAATGAAAAAAAGAAAAGAAAAGAAGAGAAGTGGCATGAAATTAGAAATGAAGTTAGAAGGAGGAGGAGGAGGGTGCAATTACCACCCGAATAACAAACAACTACAAGGTGTTTGTCCCTTTTGCTTGAGAGACAAACTATTGAAGCTCAATGGCATCAACAATCCAACATATCCTCTACCTTCTCCTCAACCCTTTTCTTCTTATGTATCTCGCCGCCACCACCGCCATAATTCTAGCGTGCCGGATTCTGTGTCTTCCATGGTTAGCTTCAATAATGGATTGAAGAAGAGCAACTCCATTGCCTTTGCTTCAGGAAGCCAACCCATAATAGATTGGGAAGTCAATGGAAACAACCGGTGGAGTAAGAAAAAGGGTATTTGGTCCAAGCTGCTCAAATTGACCAGAAAGAACAAGGAGGCCTTCATGCATTCCAGGACCATGAGGGAGGGAAAGAGTTTGCATTTTTAGTTTGTTAACGTAGATCCACTTTTTTTTTTTTGTTTCTTTATTGATGGAACTACACCTAATCGTGGAGGATTTAATTAGGTTGTAATTGGCTTGGAGCAAAGGTTTCCATATGATAAATGTGTATTTATCTAAGAATGAATTAATTTACCGTCTAACACATTTCCGAAAAGCGAATTTGATAACCATATCAATAACAGGATCGTTCAAAAAATGTTGCTGATGCACCAGTTTAATATAGACTTATTCCCCAAGTTCAATGGGTTTTTTGTTGTAGCTTCGGATGTTATCCTGTAGCGTAAATCAAAATTAAGCTAACTCGCGCCTGAATGAGAGGATGAGAATGAGCAAGATCTTGTTCAGGAATTTTAGTGGTTTTCTTTCCCCGGCTGTGCATTTCGATGTTAGCCCCTCGACATAAAGCGGAGTAAAATATTTAATTCTTGCCCCGGCTGTGCATTTTAACATCTTGTCATTTTTAAAAGAATTAAAATTTAATAAAGGTGTACAAAATATAAGCAAAACCTGAGATATATAACGCTGCATAATGGTGTGGTATGCTGTGCGGTCAAGTGAAACGAGATTATAAATCAAAAACAGAACAAATAACTGCAACGCTGTTTAGTGGTGCAATTTGAAGTATTACTTCTCTATGATCATCTACATTTAATGTGAGGTTGATTTGTAACTGGTACAAGTTCCTGTATGGTAGACTACCTATCTTTAGAATGCAATTGGGGTATAAACTACCAAAGAAAAAAAAAAACTGTACACGATAATTTGGTTTTGCATGATCAATTATAGCACACTTGTAACTTCTCGCCCAAATAATGGATATCATCTAGGAGGGCCAGAAATATTGCGCTCCATCAAATCGTCCTCATCATTGTCAATATTTCGGTGCAATGCAGGCTGTTTCAGCCTTTGAAATATATCATCAAGGGACTCAGCTGAGGACACACGAGAAATCTCATCTTCCTGTGTTTGCCGAATGGGTGAAAACCTGTTGCCCCCTAAGTTCGCCCTGAAACTCTGAAAGCCTGTTTTCATTGTTTTCCATGTAGAGGCCAAGCCTGAAGTTCCAGCAACATTACCAGAACGAGTATTGTCGTGATCTACCAAGGAAACTTTAGCAGATTCTAAATTTTTCTCTTCTGCCTTCAATTTAGATGCTAATCCACTTTGCTGTCTGACTGCAGCATACTTGTTGCTGATGGCTTCCCTGCTCGAGCTATATCTCCTTGTCTCGTCCTTCAAAGTTTTAGGCTGATTTCCATCTATTTCTTTATTAACTAAAGCGGAAGTTCCCTTCATTTCAACATCATTGTTCACCTGACCATATATCACAGCCATAATGTGAGTGTACTGTTTGAACTTTGCCCACAAGAGTAAAAAATGTTATATCTTGAAGTCACCAAATTCATGATAATGTTGCATGAATGATGAAAATAGTAAGAGAAAAATTGCTTCCATTTTCTTTTTGGTGGGGTGTTGACATACCGTACTATTAGATTCAAGATCAATTCCATTAAAATTCCTCACTAATGGAACAACTTGCTCGCCTACGTTGCGTCCTTGTTCAAGCCAAGATCGTTCTACAGATTATATGAATTAATAATCAGTGTAAGTAATTATCACAAATCCAACATTCCAACAAGGTTCACTACTTTAGGCATGATTTATCACTTAATATTTTGAACTCATAACAACTGCAGAATTCTTCACTAGCATACCTTTCTGTAAGATAATTAATCCTGATGGATCAAAACCATCCATATCTTCAGCTTCGGTTTCAAAAACATATCTCTTCCAGCTCCCGAGAAAATCAAATACCCTATCAAAGAAGTTGCTTGCTACCAAAAGGGTGTATACAACCATAATAAGTGGATAAATTTTGTTAAACTTGTCTCCAAAGAAAGGGACAGCATTGTCAATGTTCCCCATTCTCTGCAATTAATCATGTAATGCACCAAATTACCAAAAATAACTAATAAGAAAAGGAAAGAAAGCAAAATATTTTGATACACTAAGGTACCGATGATTTATTAGCGTGGCTATGAAATAACGTGAACATTTATGTATAGACACGTAGAGACTAAATTAAAGACAACAAAACCATCAGACACTTTGAAAAATAAGTACACATATCAGGTATAATAAAATAAACAAAAAAATGGAAAAAAATAGAAAAAGAAGAATGTTGATAAACTTGATGAAGGAATGGTTCAGTGCCATGCCTTTTTCTACTAACAACATGTCGTATAGCTATGCAAATGACAATTTCCAGGATTACTAAAAACTGAGAAGTGAGTTGATACTATGATAAAGAATATTTAAGGAAATCTTTCAATTATTGTAGAATGTCTCAAGAATCAAATTATTCATCTAATTGCAAAGCAACCACAGGTTTTTCTTCTTTAACCAGAATTGTTAGGTTACTAGTTTTATTGCTAATTCTCTGTTATAATGTTATAAATAATTGTAGTAACGGTTTCCAGTTATAACTGATTGATAACTTTTCATATTGTATAAATTAGCTTGAAAATAATGGAAATAACACGATTGATTTGTTCTCTATCTTCAGATATATTCTTTTTCTACATTCAGAATGTTCACCGTTCCCTATTGGCGGTGGTTCTTTGATAACAGTCCTAGAACTACTTTTCTTCTTATCAAGTGGTATTAGCTTGTCGATCTCGAGAAAAACTTGGTCATGGCTGATGCAACACGTAATGTAATGCAGTGGCGACTAAAGAATTGGAAGAAGGCTTGGGTATCAAGATGGAATCAAGATTAATGGAGCTTATGGGATCTATGCAAAAGTCTTTGACAGATTCTTTGAAAGATCATATTCAAGAATTACTCAAACAACAAACTGACGAAATTAAGGATGCAGTAGTGTCATCTAAAGCACGTAGCATTCATTCTCCTACTCCAGTATATTCTTGTGGAACTCAAGTTGACTAGAATTGATTTTCCACGATTCAATGATGACAATGTTAATCAATGGATTTATCAATGTGAGAATTATTTCTTGATTGATAAAACTCCTAACGATGTGAGGGTGCAATTGGCTATTGTCCATTTGGAGGGGAAGGCTTTCCAGTGGCAAACAGCAGTGGCGAAAACCACTTCATACTCCTCAGCGATGTCATGGGATGAATATACAAGATTATTGTTGGATAGATTTGGTGTAGTGGGGTAGGACCCAATGGTAGAACTGATGTAGTTGAGACAAACAAAATCGGTTGAGACAAACAAAATCGATAAGCTGCTATCATGAGGACTTTGATGTCATTGTATCACGTCTAGAGTTAAGTGAAGAATATATGTTAAGTTGTTTTTTGGGAGGGTTAAAAAAAGATATACAAATGATGGTCAAAATGCTTCGGCCTCCTACAGTGTGTCGTGCTTCTACCTGGGCTCGCATGTACGAAATTGCTAATACATCCAATAGTCAGCATATAGGTACATCTAAAAGCATAAAAGGAATTCTTGGTTCTCAACCAGAGAATAAGAATGTTTCAAGTTTTACCATGACATAAGCTAAGATTAACTCAGAGAGTGAGAGATAAGCTAAAGGGTTGTGCTATTTCTGTGATGCACCTTATTAACAAGAGCACATCCTTACACACAAAAAGATTCAAATACATGTATTGGAGACTGAGGAGGAGGATGACGAAGAAGATTTGCACGAAGAGGGTGTGCTGATCAATCACAATGATCAAGAAATACCTCAATTGCCTATTAATGCGTTGACAGGAGTGGCGAATTTCAGAACCATGAGAATTACGGGATATTGGAAAAAGAAACCATTACACATCCTTATTGACAGAGGGTCCACACATAACTTCTTAGATATTAAAATAACTCATGAACTCGGGTGCAAGATTGAAAAGGATTCTCAAATTCAAGTTGTGGTAGCAGATGGATCCAAGTTGGTGGTCTCGTCTAGGATCAAGAAATTCAATTGGACGATTTAGCAGACACCGTTCACCTCAGATATGCTTCTCATTCCTCTTGGGTGCTACGAGGTGGTGCTGGGAATTGAGTGGCTTATCACCTTGGGGTACATAATGTGGAACTTCAACATACTAATGATGGAATTTTACGTGCAAGAAAAAAAACATGTGTTCAGGGACGCTTCTTCTAAGCTTGTAAAAACTGCAAAAAAGCAATAGTTTGACAAAACTTTGACTAATGGAGTCCATCTCACGCTATTGCAACAAAGTAACGATGAAGGGGAGTTGTTGCAATCTTTGACAACACATGCCAAGCTTAATGAAATATCCAGAGTGATTGATCAACTTTTACTATAGTTTGAAGATATTTTCAATGAACCCACCCAATTGCCACCTTTTCAAGATAATCATGATCATAAAATTCCACTTATGTAGGGATCCAATACCATGAATAAAAGGCCCTATAGATATGCCAAAGGTCAGAAAAATATAATTGATAAGTTGGTCCAAGATTATTTACGATCCGGAGTTATTCAAAAGAGTTGTAGTCCTTTTACTAGTCCGGTGGTACTCGTGGGGAAAAATGATGGATCGTGGAGGTTTTGCGTGGATTACAGAGAGTTGAATAAACATACTATCAAGAACAAGTTTCCCATTCCTTTGGTTGATGATTTACAGGATGAATTACATGGAGCATCCATCTTCTCCAAAATTGATCTTCAAGCGGGTTATAGTCAAGTTAGGATGCACCCTAACGATGTGTATAAAACAACATTCAGAACACACAACGGTCATTATGAATATTTGGTGATGTCTTTTGGTCTTACTAATGCCCTAACTACATTTCAAGCAATGATGAATGAGGTATTCGGTTTCTATGCCAGTTTTTACTTGTTTTCTTTTATGATATTTTAATATTTAGTAAGAATTTGGAGGACCACATGGTCCATCTGAAGCAAGTACGTTGCAAGCAAACTTCTTGTTTGCTAGAAAAAGTAAATGCTATTTTGCAGTCTCAAGGGTGTAATACTTGGGACACTTTATTTTGGCCAGTGGAGTGGAGACAGACCCGACCAAAATAGAAGCCATGTGCAACTGGCCCCTACCTCAAACCACTAAACAACTAAGATGTTTTTTGGGTCTTGCAGGTTACTACGAAATGTTTATTTGGGGATATGGAATTGTGACAAAACCCTTAACAAACATGCCTAAGAGAGGAATTTATTTGGTAAGACGAAGGAAAACGGGCTTTTCATATGCTGAAAAAATTGTTGAGTTATGCACCAATATTAGCTCTCCCTAATTTCTCTATGATGTTTGTAGTGGAAGTAGATGATTCGTGCTGCAGTGTAGGAACAGTATTGATGCAGGAACAACATCCTATTGCTTTCATTAGTCGAGCATTGAATATACAACAACAAGCTTTATCTACATATGGTAAGGAACTACTGGCTATTGCTTTTGTAGTCCAAAATGGAGACACTACCTCATAAACACACATTTTACGGTGCGAATGGATCATTACAGTTTGAAATATTTAATTGATCAAAGATCCACGGATTTACAGCAGAAATGGTTAGTAAAATTAATAGAGTTTGATTTTACAAATGAACATAAGAAAGGGCATGAGAATGTTGTGGCAGACGCACCCTCAAGAAGGAGCATTCCAGAGTGTAACAATCTCATCACACATCAATTGGAAGCGGATTGGGTGAAAAGAATTCATAGATCGTGGGATCGGGATACAAACATAAAAAAAATAATCAAAGAAATTCAAGAAGATTTGGGTCTCCACATACATTATACTTGGAAGCAAGAAGAACTTAGAAGAAAGGGAAAATTGGTTGTAGGTAATGATTCAAAATTTAGGAATGAAATTCTGCAGTGGTTCCATTCATCAGCAAATGGGGGCCATTTAGGGATAGGGGCTACAAGGAAAAGAGTAAAAGTCGCAGTATATTGGAAGGGATTATCTAATGACATAAAAAATTTTATTCAGAAGTGTGGTATTTATCAACAATGTAAGTATAGCATAGCAACTCAGTAGTCTTACAACTTCTTCCCATTCTGGAACATATTCATCAGCAAATGGGGGCCATTCAGGGATAGGGGCTACAAGGAAAAGAGTAAAAGTCGCAGTATATTGGAAGGGATTATCTAATGACATAAAAAATTTTATTCAGAAGTGTGGTATTTGTCAACAATGTAAGTATAGCATAGCATCTCAGTACTCTTACAACTTCTTCCCATTCTGGAACATATATGGCAGCATGTGACCATGGATTTCATTGAAGGGTTGCCATGTACTTTTGGGAAACAAGTCATCTTGGTGGTGGTAGATAGAATGAGTAAGGCAGCTCATTTCATGACACTCTCACCGGTATACAGCTAGTGAGGTAACCCAGTTATATTTGGATAATGTATTCAAATTACATGGTTGTCCCAGTACAATAACAGTGACAAAGATACTATTTTTGTTAGCCAATTCTAGCAAGAGTTCATGGCTATGCAGGGAGTTCAGATTCAATTATCTTCCAGCTATTATCCGCAAATCGACGGCCAAATGGAGGTGGTAAATAGTTGCCTTGAAACTTATCTTAGGTGCATGTGTTCAGACGCCTCACACAAGTGGTCCAAATGGTTACCTTTAGCAGAATGGTGGTACAATACCTCTTACCACACTGCCATAAAAGCCAATCCATTTGAAATAATGTATGGGCAACCACCTCCTATACACCTTCCCTATCTCCCAGGAGAATCAAAGGTGGAGTTAATGGATAGGAGTTTAGCTAAACGAGAAGAAATGTTCAGGGTCCTCAAATTCCATTTAAGGAGGGCGTAGGATAGGATGAGACAAATAGCAAATCAACATAGAACAAATAAGCAATTCCAGATTAGTGATTGGGTTTACGTTAAGTTACACCCATACCGACAAGTGTATGTTGCTTTCAGAAACAATGCTAAACTTAGCCCTAAGTACTTTGGTCCCTTTAAGATAATAGACAAAATAGGACTAGTTGCTTATAAATTGGAGCTACCAACATCTAGTAAGATTTACAACGTTTTTCAATTAAAGATTCATGTGGGTAATGTGGTTATGTCGACTCAACTACCGTACCTGCAAGAAGATGTTCTTATGGATAAAGAACCAAAGAGGATTCTGGCAAGACAATAGTAAGAAGGAAAGGGATGCCTGTTACTAAAGTCCTTGTACAATGGAAACATCATCTACCAGGAGACTTGACATGAGAGTTTTACTACGATCTGAAAAAGAAATATCCGTATTTTAATCCTTGAGGTCAAGGATGGGTTTATGGGAAGGGCATTGTTATAAATAATTGTAGTAACGGTTCGCAGTTATAACCAATTGATAACTTTTCATACTGTATAAATTAGCTTGAAAATAATGGAAATAACATGATTGATTTGTTCTCTATCTTCAGGTATACTCTTTTTCTACATTCGGAACGTTTATTGTTCCCTATTGGCAGTGGTTCTTCGATAACAGTCCTAGAACTACTTTTCTTCTTATCATATAACTTATTTACACTAAACCGATAGTTTTTAACAATCCAATATGCAAACAAGTTCAGAAGAAAATAATAAATAAGAAAGCAATACGTAAACCATGAAAAATAGACTCACCTGTTCAAAGATAGTTGTTTTATCAGAACCAAGGCGAATGAGATTGAGAAAGTTGTATGAGATAGGAGGAGCATAACGAGCAATCATACTGGAAATGAGACAGAAAATAATGATATGTGCAAGATAGCATTGGCAATTCAAGAAAGATAAACAAGTAGCGGTGGTGCATAAAATCTTACGAGCATATCATAAGCAGGCTAACTGAGCTGGTCTGTCGGGGTGTCAATGAGTAAAACACCAATGTTCCAATTTTGAACAAGGAGTAGTATGTGCATATGCACATATACATGAGAGGAACAAACGCAAATGCCTAAGCAAGATTGAAAAAATGGGATTCAAAAGGCAGCCTGTCTTCATTTTAAATATGGTATAAAGCATTACACCAAAGATGCATAGATTACATGAGTTGTTTGTGTGCTTTAATTTAATGTATAACCCAACTCCAAAATTGAATTTGATTTCAAACCTTTGCTAACTAGATATGTTGTCAGTAGCAATTTCACAGGGATTAATTACAGCCTCAAACCAAAAAAGCAAGTTTAATTAGAAAAAGATAGGCAGGGAACCGACCAATAAACAAAAACATGTGCAGTTGATCAGTATGCACCAACAATGGCCATATTACACAATCACAAAATATCATGAGACCTGATAGACTTCAATTTACTTTAAATTTTATAAGATTTCCAATATTCTAGAATTAAATATTCATCCAAACTTTCTTTTACAAGGTATATGAAGATTCAAATATACACAAGCATCTCAGGGACCACATTTACTACAAAATTTTTATCTCTTATTAACTTAATCTACCTGCACAAGCACCTCCTGTTTTCCAACAGAGTTTATAAGAACAGAGAAAAGTGATAGATCAACACTAGGTAGAAGAGTAGCCTCTGCTAAAAGAATTGTAACGGACATGACACCAAGTATAACAGCGAAGCCTTTCTGGACTTGCTTTCTTAATATGCATCGCCAGAAAAATTCTGCAAAAGAACCACCGTTTATTTAGAGGCCTATGCCAAATGTCTCTAACTAATATATTCCATATTCATAAAAGGAAGGAGTACGTGATGTCATGTTGCAACATAAATGCAGCAGTAAACCTAACTGAGAAAGGAAAATATATTGAAAGACAGGAGCAAATGAAATTGAAGAATTTTTGAAGTCAAAGCATATATGTGTATGATCAAATTACATAGACGTGCAACCAGGTTTGCAAACATTAAATTCAAATTCTCCCATTCTTTCAAACCTATGGAAACTGTTAGAATAATTAAGTCTATGTATGTTAGAGTAATTATTGTGTCCTTTGGTCTTTCATCTCAACTGTGTATCTAGAGTGTGCCCTTTGGTCTTTCATCTTCTTTTGATCTTCCATCTTCCCTGTATCAGATTTTTTATCTTCCATCTTCCCATTGTATCAGATTTCCATCATTATAAATAGAAGATCATAAGAGGGATCTCATATGCCCTCCAAAATATATTTTCTCTGTTTTAAACTTAAGTGAAACCTCCATTAACAAGCTTGAATTTGGGCTTATAAAGCTTGGTCAATCCTTACCTTACAAACTAGTTTTTGTGGGATTGAGTTAAATACTAAACCCAATTTCAAATATCATATTAGAACGTATCCAGAATCTTTATCTATTTTTAGGTCATCTGCATTGTCAAGCTCAAGCTGACTTGAGAGTGAAGCGGTGTGTTGGAAAGTCTCCTTTATGGTGGCCTAATAGAGTTACTTACCAATGTCTCAAAAGGGCAACCTATGATGGAGTTGACTAGAAAAGTTAAGTGAAGCATCATAATTGTTGGAGATCCCACACGATTAGAGATATGACAAAATTATAATATATAAATAATCAAATCTCACTTTCCAATCTAATTCCACGCTTGAAATGTCCACTTTGAAGATATGATCAAACTATAGTGGGTGAAAACCTTATCTTACAAGCTGATTTTGTGAGGTTAAATTAAGCTCAAAGTTCATTTACTAAGAATAGTGTACAACGGTTGAGACATCCCAATGTCTCTCGGAGGGTAACCTATGACAAAGTTGACTGGAAAGGCTAAGTGAAGCATCATAGTGTACAATTGTTGGGGCATCAACTTGTAAGAGGTTTGAGATATTACATAGACTAGAGGTAAGACCTAAATATTACTTATGTTAAGGTTCCAACATAAAACTAATTGACAATATATGGAATAGCCTAAGATGTATTTAAACCATACCAAATGACATGAGGTAGGCGATGTGGGACTTCCAACACGCCCCCTCCAACGAAGCCTGCCGGACCAGACAAATGGTACTTTTTGACCCAACGAAAGGACAACTTTTGGCCCATGACAATAACCGGAAAGATGTTAGGCTTTGACTCTGATACCATGTTAAGGTTCCAACATAAAACCAATTGGCAATATGTGGAATAGTCTAACATGTATTTAAACCATACCAAATGACATGAGGTAAGCGATGTGGGACTTCCAACAACTTATAAAACTTATATAATCTTCACCTTATAAGTCAGTTTTGTTCAGTTAAATTAGGTCATAAGCCCAAATTCTAACGTAGGTAGTATTGCTAGTTAAAACTAATAGACATGTTCCTAGTTGCAAGGGAACAATATATTTAAATTTAAGAGCAAATAGGCTAATATTCTTTAGTCACCTAAAGTGTCACATAAAGACCCAAAGTTCCCTGTCCGAGCAGGTCTAAAGCTTGATATATATTTCCTGAAATGAAAGCAAAAAAATTGAGTAAGGTGTGTTGGACAACCCTTATATTACTATAGAGGATATTGCAAGGGGGAAAATAAAAAACATGAAAAGAAAAATAATCAAAAGCAAACCATACCATCCAGAAGAGTTGCGGCGATCATAATTCTTTATCACATCTTCCAATTCAAGGGCTTCCAACACGTAAGTTATATACTCACTACAAGAATGCAAAAGTGAAAGATATAAACCAAATAATCAAGCTTCAATATATACCTAGTCAACAGACTTTTGTGAAAGTGTCAGGCAATGCCATCGATCAAAAAGAATTAATTATCCATCAAAGCATGCATGGATCATATGCATAATATATCACTTGATAAACTTATTTAAGGTTTCAATACAGTGTATAAAGACACTGTTACATTATATTTATAGATAAAAGAAACACAACAGAAAAGATATGGGCCTCAGTCCAAACCCTTAACCCTAGTCTAAGGAACATACATAAAGAACACAAAAAGATAGAAAAACAACATGTCTCAACAGTCCCCCTAAAGCAGGAGCATATAAATTATATGCACCAAGCTTGAAACAAATGAACTGAATCCTAGGACCTCTCAAGGATTTTAGTTAAAATGTCTGTCAGTTGCTCATTGGAACTTACAAATTCAATTACAAGTTTCTTAGACACTAACTTTTCTCTAACAAAGTGACAACCAATCGCGATATGCTTTGTTCTTTCATGAGAGACTAGGTTGGAGGCAATATGGAGAGTTGCCTGATTATCACAAAACAACTTCATCTGCCCATTATCACAGAATTTTAATTCTTGAAGGAGTTGTTTGATCCACACAAGTTCACATGTAGCAAGTGCCATAGATGAATAAAGATACTTTGTTTTTTTACTTTTCCAAAAAATCAAATTCCCTTCAATAAAGATACAATACCCAGTAATAGATCTTCTATCAATGGGACAACCAGCCCAATCTGCATATAATAACCTAGAATTTGAGTACTACCCTTATTTTCATATAACAATCCTTGTCCAGGGCTCCCTTTAACATATATCTCAAAATACAAATCAAGGCATCCCAATGATCAGTACAAGGATTTTGCATAAATTGGCTAACTACTCCAACTGAACAAGAAAGATCAGGTCGGGTAATAGTAAGATAAATGAATTTACCAACCAACCTCCTGTATGTTTCTGGGTCTGACAACTTTTCTCTTTTATCTCCCATCAATTTCTCATTAGGGTCCATTGGGGTATCAATGGGTTTACAATTTGTTAAACCTATCTACTGCAGAATATCAAAAGCTTACTTCCTTTAAGAGATGATCACACCTTCCTTTGATTGAGCCACTTCAATACCAAGGAAATACTTCAATTGACCAAGATCTTTGGTTTGGAAGTGAGCAAATAGATGATTCTTCAGTTGCCTGATCTTGGTATAATTATTGTCTGTAATAATAATATCATCAACATAAACCATAAGATACACACACTTGCCTGCAGAGGAATGACAATAAAACACTGAGTGATCTACTTCATTCATTTTCAAGCCAAACAACTGTACAACATGACTGAATTTCCCAAACCAAGTTCGGGGTGACTGCTTCAAGCCATAAAGAAATCGGTGTACCTTGCACACTAAACCAGACTTCCCCTGAGCAACAAAGTCAGGAGTTGCTCCATATAAATCTCTTCCTCAAGGTCACCATGAAGAAAGACATTTTTAATGTCTAGTTGGTGAAGAGGCCAATGACGAATAGCAGCCATAGCAAGGAAAAGACGAATAGTGAAAATGAGGCCATAAATTTGAGTGTAGCCTTTAGCTACTAGACAAGCTTTAAGATGATCCACTTTATCATTATTATCAGCTTTAACTGCATAGACCCACTTACAGCCCACAGCCTTTTGCCAGAAGGAAGAGGGACAAGCTCCCAAGTGCCATTGTGTTCAAGAACCTGCATTTCATCAATCATGACTTGTTGCCATCCGTGGTGATCAAGAGCCTCATGGACAGTATTAGGAATAGTAGTGTCAGTCAAAGAGATAACAAAAGAGGAATAGGAAGGAGACAAACGATAGTAACTTCAAAAGTTATAAATAGGAAAAGGATTTCGAAAGGAATGAATACCTTTTTTGAATGCAATAGGCCATCCAGAATCAAAAGTGGGAGAGAAGGTCGAAGGATCCATGGTATGAAAAGCTGATGGAGAAGATTTTGAATCACGATTATTTGCAGAATCTGGTAAAGGTGTAGGCGGCGTCCTGCGGTGATATGTAAGAAGAGGAGGAGAATCATTGAAACCTGTAGGTTGAACTGGTGAAGGATCAAGTATTATAAGTGGATCACATAAGGGTATAGGAAGAACATTTTGAATAAAGGAACCATCCATGGGCAAAAAAAAGAAGGATGTTTCTTCAAAGAAGGTGACATCAGCAGACATGTAATACCTTTTGGTGAATGGAGAATAATATTTGTACCCTTTTTGGAGGCGAGAGTAACCCAATAAGACACATTTAATGGCTTTAACACTTAACTTATCAAGACCTGGAGAGATATTATGTACAAAACAAATACAACCAAATATACAAGGAGACACATGATAAAGAGGATCATCCGGAAAGATAAGGGAATGATGAATTTGATTTTGAAGAGAAAAAGATAGTATGCGATTAATCAGAAAACAAGTAGTGAGAATTGCATCTCCCCAATGATGAACAGGAACATTGACATTCAACATTAGAGAGCATGCAGTGTCAATAAGATGCCTATTTTTCCTTTCTGCAATATCATTTTGTTGTGGAGTGTGAGGGCAAGTTAACTGATGTAAAATGCCTTGGGAAGATAAAAAAGAAGAGAAGGAGGCTGAAAAATATTCTTTGGCATTATCACTTATGAGAACTTTAATTATCTTCTCAAATTGATTTTTAATTTCATTGAAAGAGATAAAAATGGACAAAATTTCATATATGTTTTTCATTAAATAAACCCAAGTGCATATGGAAAATTCATCAATAAAAGTTACAAAATAGGGGAAGCCAAATGAAGAGACACGACTCGGTTCTCAAACATCAAAATGAATATTTGAAAAAAGAAAATTACATCGAGTTTCAAAATGTTTAGGAAACATGTTTTCCTAATTAGCAAGATTCACATTCTAAACCCCGAAGATGTTTAAGATTAGGAGTCATCACTTTCAACTTTGGTAAACTTGGGTGACCTAGACGATCATGCAAAAGTTTAGGAGCAGGAGAAGCAAGACATGACACCAAAGGACTTGGATTTAGATAGTATAGACTACGTGATTCATGTCCTTCTCCGATCAGACGATTTGTACCATGTTCCTGAATAACAAAAGAATTGGAATTAAAGATTTCAGAACAATTCAGAGAACGAGTCAATTGACTTAGAGAAATCAAGTTATAAGGGAAATTAGGAATAAAAAGAACAAAATTTAAATTCAAATAAATGGTTAAAGGAACATGGCCAATTCCTTGTGACTTTACTTTAGATCCATTAGCCACAATAATCAAATAAGGAATTATAGGATAGGCCATGGAGGAAAATGAGGAATTTTACCAGATATATGATTAGAGGCACCTGAATCAAGAATCCATGGGTTTTGACCTTCCACAGATTGAGAAATGCATGCTAATGAAACACTAGGCATGGAAGAAGATTGATCCTGGCTGTTGAATTTTTCTAATTTGAACTTCAAAAACTCTTAATACTCCTCATCAAAGATTTTCATATTCGAGTTTTCAAACTTAGAAACATGGGCAGTGGTATTCCTGTCATTCCTGTCATAAAAAACATGTAAGGAATAACAGTTTTCTTGCGTGTGCCCCATCTTCTTGCAATAGGAACATTGAGGACAACATTTTGTACTCCCACGTCCTCATCGACTGTTATGTCCTCCTCCTCGACCACGAGGAGCAACCATAGTTGAAGTTTAAACTGTCTCCACCTGATCTGTCATAAGATTGAGAACTCAAATCAGCCTCGTGACAAGATATCCATTGACGGAACCTGATCACCAGCTACGATTTGATCACGTACATGATAAAAATTACAGTGCAAACTCCTTAAAATTAGGACCATATACAACTTATCCAGTTTGGATTTTAACTCCTCTAAGGTATTTGCCGCAAGAAACCTTTTTAATTCCTCCACAGCAGCCCTAGCATTTGCAATGTGAGACATCATGTCATGATATGTCTATTTGAGAGACGTAACTCTTTGAGTTGCATCAAAGAGATGCTGAATATCATTAGCAAAAATGTCTTAAGCCTTTTTCCAAAAGGAAGAGCAGGTTTTGAATGACTTGAGAAGCTCAAGAACCTCAAGTTCCACAGACTGCCATAAGATTGCACAAAGCTGGAAGTCTATTTTCTCCCACTGAGATCTCTCTAAGGCAAAAACAGAGTTCACATCTTTCTCCAGATGGTCATGATACCCCTGACCTAGAAACCATAGTTCAATTGATGCAGACCAGGATAAATAATTTTTCCAGTTGAGTTTGACACTAGTTATGGTCGGAGTAGCAGAAAAAGAAAAAGTACTAGATGGAGTCATTTATCTAAAACAGAGATGAAAGATAAACTTAACCATTAGGGTACCCATGTGACCTAGCTTCCAAAGTTCTCAAAACATACAAATAATGACACCACTGGACTCGGAGGGCGCCGACGAGTCGACCAGTGATAATCGATCTTGATTCCGGCCACTGGAGGGTGGCGCGTGGGACAAACGCACCTAGGAGCTCCACTTGAAGTTGCGCGTGACAGCATGTGGGGCCGCAGATGGAGGAGCGATTGACGGGGGTGGGTTGAGCTCTTCGAGGCGCACCAAACCCTACCTTCACTGGACCGAACTGAGACAATGGCCGGTGGCAAAAGGCGGCCCACAGTGGTCGGAGATGACAGGGATGACCGAAAATCAGTGTGGGATCGTACCCGCTCTAATACCAACTTGAGAAACTTATTTAGGATTTCAATATAGTGTCTAAAGATACTGTTACATTGTATTTATAGATAAAGGACATACAACAAAGAGGATATGGGCCTCAGCTCAAACCCTTAACCCTAATCTAAGGAACATACACAGAGAATACAAAAAGATAAAAAAACAACATGTCTCAACAATATCTTTCGAATAACCCAAATAAAGATTGAGGGCTGATTATTTGCTTACCTTTTGTACCTATAGTACTCCTCAGTTGCTCCTCGAAGATGACGCCTAAGTGTTGCCATTGACTTCTCATCAGTGTCATAATCCATATCACTTTCCCCTAATTGGCCACCTTGTGGTTTGAAGAATGGATCTTCCCTAAACTGGAATATTGAAGGTTATATCCAAACAAAGATCTAGGTTTTGTATTGAATATTTAATCAAGAAAGTTAAGCTTAATACCATTTGTGTTAGCATATCATCAATTACATTCATGTAAGGTCTCAGGGGATCACGCTTGGACATTTGGTTGGATGTGGCTTGAGCAACCTATAGAATAAATTTTCATCGTAAAAATCAAGGTTACCCTTACCAAGTGATAAAGAAGAGAGACACATACATTATTGAAATTGTGTCTAAATGGCACTACAGGTTTATATAAAACGATAGTATTAATTACACATTATTAGAAGATATTCAAGTTCCTCTAAATAATACATCAAATCAATTACATTAAACGTTAGTAATTATTCTTATTTTTAACACTCTTTCTTAAGTCGGAGCATATATATCATATGCCCTCATCTTGTTACAAGTATACTCATAGGAACCCTCAAAGACTTCATGAGAAAGAAGACAGAGACATATGTTACTAAAACCGTGTGTCTAAATGATATGATACATCTGGTATATATAAAAAGATTGTATTAAATACATATTACTATAGGATATTTATTCTTGATTCTCAACAATTCTAAAGTTCAACTAAACTGATAAAGTTTTTATTAATCATCTTCCGCTTAGCAGCATTGCTAATAGTGTATTAATGTGACAATTGTGCACTAGGGATAATTATGTCCTTTGTCGTATAATTTACTAATAGCCCAGTTTACTTTATATGAATACATGTCCTAGACCAATGTTGGGTACAAACTTGTTTTACATAGCATTATGAGCTCTATAGTTGTCCCACTCTTTCACTTTCTCCCAATTTTTTTTCCTGTTTACCAAAAGAGGAATATACAGCAGCAGCAGAATCAAGACCTAGTTGCAAACATAATTATGCCAGCAGCTGCTGTAACTGCTACCTCCTGTTTGATTCAGATGACTGAAATGCATTTACTGATAATGAACTAACCCCTCAGGAAAGGGCTAGAAGGATATTCAACAACCAGCTATGTACAGTTTCTCTTATTTTCAGACACAAGAAAAAAAAAGTAATGCACATGGTATCACACAAATAAACCAATAATGTCAAATATTATATAGTTATCACGGATGCGGAGACAATGTGAATTTATGAAATATTGTTTACTCGTACAACAAAACCACCAAAATACTGCTAGAGAGTAACACCTCTCCAAAAGTGTAAAAACATCTAAGAATAGTCAGTTATTATTTTGCTTGCAAGAAATCAACAAAATTTTCAAGTGCAGATTGAGAAAATATAAGAGATATTTAAAACTACAAAAGAAGTTTCTCTGCCACATGCGGACTACTTACAACAATAGCATTTGAAAGTTCTTGGTGAGCATCATCTAGCTTAACAGCCATTTTGGCAATCTTGTGGGAAAGAACTTTCTGTCGGATTGTCCAATCAGAATTTTTCCAAATGCCTTTGGGAATTTCACTTAAACCAAAGCCAAGAAGAAATGCTCCAGTAACAAGTCCAAAAGTATTCGAGCAAGCCATGGCTAATCCCAGAAGGCCTCTACTCCTGTTTTTATAAGAATCAACCAAATAGAAATTATTTAAAGAAACAAAGTGGGACTTCAGTTGAAATCAAGAAGCATAAACATGTCGGTAGAAATGAAAAAAGTTAATTGAAAGTTAATTTGCCGATCATGACCTTCATGTTGAAAAATATAAAATAGTTGGACAGAAGGTACACGTTTGTGCATCCATCGCATGAAAACCATACAAACTACCATGATTTCACAAAATGTCCCATGACTTGTTAATGTGTTTAAAGATGAAACACTGGAATTTAAGTTTCTCAAAGAGGAAATGTGAGGTTTCTAGGAGTAAATGGAAAATGTCAAAAAAATAAATAAACTACATGTGTTTGATAATTCAACTTGTACTGCATGCCTTTAACAGATAAAGTAGTGCACTATGGATGTTGTATAAAAAATGGCTAGCAATGTGGCACGAATCATCATTATTTCAAATCTCAAAAGCAGAAGATATAGTATTTGGGAAAGCTTCTGGAATACATCAGCCATGACAAAATATGTTATGGATGTGAGGAAGCAAGAGAACTCATAAGTGGAACTCAGAACTCATAATATATTATTTTAAAATAACTAAAAGATTAAGAGGGTGAGAACCAACCAGTGCCGATGCATCATAATGATAAGAATAATTCCAAACAAGCCAATGGATCCCACAATTACATAAAAGATCAAGTTAACATGTAAACTAGTCTTCAATCTTTCTGATACAGTGAAGTCGCCAGCATCTTCAAAACCCTGAATAAGGGGCACAACAACCCTGCTCATGATAACATGACATAGATACATGAGCAAATTTGCCATTCTGATTTTTATGTTCTATTCAAAGACTTGCAATCGTTAGTATGTAGGCAAGCATATGAGAAGACAAGGCAAATAGTATAATAGCACATACAGAAAGTCTAAGTTTAACAAGCACACATAATAACTAATCATGTGTTGTCAGTCCTTACTACTTACAAAGTTGGCTCACAGCCTCAAAGTTTATTCCACTAAAAGAAAGTGTTAACATACATGCATTATATATCATTAAGAATTTAAAAATAAAAGACATCATATTGAAGTGCCACCCTGATGGGGCCTAGGTACAAGAATAAAGGAAAAGCAGGCAAGGCAGTTACCGTAGTTATGTAATGGCTATGTGATTAAGAGCAGTTAGCTACAGAGCAGCTTAGGCAGTTAAAGTTTATAAAATTAAGGGCTTGGCACTCAAAATTTGACTATCATAGAACGGTTGTAATTTTGCTCTATTCATTACCTCTCAACTCTTTCTCTTTGGTCTGTAACACAACCTAAAGAAAATAAGTTTATTGATCAGTATGCTTTGATGAAAATTATAGGATTTGCATTTGACAGTTTTCTTTTAATAAACAATATTCATGTTCACATTTACTAGTTATTTCAGCTTCAAGTTTAACAAACAACATTCACGTTCATAGTTAAAGTTTATAAATTAAGGGCTTAGCACTCAATCTACTATCATAGAACGGTTGTATTTTTTCTCTATTCATAACCTCTCAACTCTTTCTCTTTGGTCTGTAACACAATCTAAATAAAATATGCTTATTAATCAGTATGCTTTGATGAAAATTATAGGCATTTGCATTTGACAGTTTTCTTTCAACAAAGAACATTCATGTTCACATTTTATAGTTATTTCAGCTTAATCTCATTCCACATCATATGTGTTATGATATGTAAATATAAATAAGACAAGGATGTAAGTCAGTTAGTAAGTCAGCTATTGTTATTTCATTGTTGTTTGCTAGCTTCGTATAATAAGGTAGGCAGTTGTATTCTATAGGGCTGAATCTAGATTCAATATTAATGACAGAAGTGCAGTGCACATATTCTTTGATCTCTCTGCTCTCTCCTCTTTCCCTGAAACCTCCCCTATTCTGTGTTATTCTGTCTTCCCCTCTTCTTTCTCTGTCTTTCTGATTCTTTCATCTTTCCCACCTACATTCTATATCACATTACAAAGTTCATAGTTCATTGATTCAAATATATTGCCAGGCAAACGACAGAAATAACAATGACAAGATAAACAGAAGGACTTCAAGTCTTGGACCATCATCCAATACATGGAGCTAAAAGTTGGCGTTTCTCAAATAATGAAAAAAACTTTTACATACCATGTAAGCAAAAACGTACTCCAGTATGACCAGCTCCAGAAGAAAGAAATGCCTCCATTCTCATGGTAGGAAGATATTGTCTGTAGGTGTCAAAGAAAGAAACACCAATATACAAATGAAATAATTGCACATACATTTCTTCAATGGTCCACAAAACTATTCAGCATTTAACAATTTGAATTCCAAAATATTCCTTTAGCAGGGAGGGAAATATATTATGTATTAGCCAAGGAATGTTGAATTGAAGTGGAAAAGGAAAAAAAAACTGACAAGCTTAACGATAGATAAAAGTTCATACATCTACCTTGTCCAAAACATGAAAGTAGCACAATAGTTTTGTCTGAAATCCGAAGCTGTTGTCTTTAAGGCATCTCCACTAGGAGTTGCCTAGAAGAGTTCTTACGAATAAAACATATCATTTTAATATGAGTCTCACCGGTAGTGTTGCGTGAAACACCTGATTCAAACAACTTTGACTATGGGAATCACGTTAAAATAATGTATTTTATTTCTAAGAGCTCTTATGAGTTTTTTTAAGCAACTCAAAGATGCTCTTACACTATTATAGACTGAGTGTATCTAGTGCTAAATGAGTAAGGACTTGTTTGAAGTGACTCTAATGTTTTACTTTCAAAACTTGTTTGGAATGTGTAACGAGTGAAGGTCATGAAAGGGAGGGAAAAGATCTTGAATGCAGGTCAGAAAACGTGAGGGTGGAAGAAGCACGTGGAGACAAGCGCATGAGGAGAAATAATGTGAGGTTCAAAGATTATGATTGGGCAGGAGCACATAAAATAGAAATTCGTTAGAGAGTGGGGGGAATTGTCATTACTTCGCTCTGTCAAAATTCTTCAATTCTTTTTGTGCCTTCCTTTTTCTCTACATATGTCATCTTCTTTTGCATTGTAAATGGTATTAAAATTCGTATAAGAACACAAATCCAGAAAAGTTTCATAAATACTACTATCATCATTTCCATTTTCGTATTTTATGATACTGTTACATTGGTGCTTTCATTCCTCTGAACCATGGCTAAAAACACTAGAATGAAAGAATTAGCTATTGAAATAGCTCGTCCAAAGGACCTTCCGGCAGAGGTTAGTCAAATCGTTGAATCCATGGAACGACGTGAGAGGGAGTTACAGAAGTGGATGGATTATTTGACATTACGCGAACAAGACGCAGAAAACAGATTCCAAACCTTAGAATCAACAATAGGTTCCCTGCTGCAAACGAAGCCACCACAATCAATAGAGCCGCAACCATTCCAAGTGTGTAATGTGAAACTCAATTTTCCTCGATTTGATGGTACTGAAGTCCTCCAATGGATCTTCAAGGCGGGGCAGTTCTTCAACTATTACCGACACCAAATGATCAACGCTTGATCATAGCTGTTAGATATTATTTAGATATTGTTAACCACAATATCAAACAATATCTTCTGTTTATTCTGTTATTTTCAGTTACTCTTTTAGTTGTATTTCTCTATTATAAATAGACTACCCTATATGTGATTTATACACAAGGGATATTAATCACAAACTCTATTTCTTCTATATTCAACATGGTATCTAGAGCTTAAGGTTATTTTAAAAAAAAATTTCGCCTTTGACCACTGTTGGAGCCGCCACCACCGCCGCTATCGCTGTCGGTTAAACTAATCTTCCACATCAGAAAAATGTTATTTTTGTTACTGAATATTATTTGGTAGTGTGAAAATGCATGTCTAGGAAGGTTCTGACAAGGAAAGACTTGGTATTTAAGCGTGTCCATTAGTGACCCACCTCTCTTTCCTGAAAACTTACCTGGTGTACTGGTTCACGCCGCTGTCACTATCGCCTCCGCCCTTTATGACTTTTTCCGCTCCTTTTAGTACTTCCAATTCTGTCAGTACTACGTCTGATCCTTCCATCTACACTAACTATGTTAATGTGCATTTATTCATTGACAAGTTAACTGGCCCTAATTATGCCACATGGTCATCAAACGTCAGATTATGGCTTAATAGTCAGAAGTATCTTGATCATCTTGCCCCGAAAGCACCTACTCTCACTCCTGGTGAGGAAGACCGTTGGGACACCATTGATGCTCAATTATGTGTGGTTCTCAAGGATACTCTTGATCCTTCGTTAAAACAAATTTTTCGTTCCTACGAAACATGTGCCAAAATCTGGGAACAAGCCAAGTTATTATACACCAATGATACTCAACGTCTCTATGATGTATGTTCTAAATTTGTAGATGTTATTGCCTCTAAACATCAAGATTCTATGACTGATTATATGGGCAAAATTCATGCTCTTTTTCATGAGTTCAATGAGTTATTGCCTCCTTCCCCCGACCCTGCCACCAAGATAGCACAACGATCAAAGTTCTTCATGCTAGGGGCATTACACGGACTTGCTGATCAATATTCACATATTCGTGATCAGATTTTGGGTTCTCCGGTTGTCCCCACCTTGACATCGACCTGCTTCACTCTTTTGCGTATACCAGCAAAACCCAACCCTGACACACCTACTTCTGTTAATGATTCTTCTGCATTGGTATCTCACCGTGATGACCGAACTCGTCCTTGCAAACAGGGAAAAGGGCGTCCTAAGTGTGAACATTGTGGCAAGCTAGGTCACAAGATTGACCAGTGTTATGCATTACATGAGTGTGAACATTGTGGCAAGCTAGGTCACAAGATTGACAAGTGTTATGCATTACATGGTCGTCCTCCTCGATCTGCTGCAGTTGTTCAGACTGATCTTTCCCCAACTTTATCTGCTAAGGATCCTCCTTCTTCTATTTCATCAGACACACTTATTATGTTCAACAAATTTCTTAAATGGTATAAGAATCAACAGTCTTCTAGTTCCACTGTGTCTGTCGCACACACAAGTACATCTTTTGCTGGTCTGACCCAATCTTCTTTTGGTCCTTGGGTTTTTGATTCAGGAGCCACTGATCATATTACTGATAACAAATCTTTGTTCTCCTCTTTATCCTCTCCTGATTCTTTATCTTTTGTTACACTGACTGATGGCTCTAGAGTATCATCTCATGGTGTTGGAACTGTTAAACTTTTCCCGTTTTTAGCCATTGATAATGTTCTTTATGTCCCTGGGTCTCCTTTTAACTTGTTATCCATCAGTCGTCTAACTTGTTCTCTTGATTGTGTTGTTTCTTTTACCAACAATTCTGTGTATTTACAGGACCAGAGTTCGAAACAGGTGATTGGCACAGGATGTGAGTCTCATGGTCTTTATCATCTTCGTCCATTTATACATGTTGGTGCAGTTATAGAGTCTCCCTCTCTTCTCCATGCTCAGTTAGGTCATCCAAGTCTTGCCAAGTTACAGCAACTTGTCCCTGCCTTATCTAAATTGTCTAGTTTGACATGTGAGTCGTGTCAATTAGGCAAACATAGTCGTACTTCCTTTCCTCATAGTCACACGTGGTGCTTCGTCCCCTTTTATCGTGGTTCACTCTGACATTTGGGAACCTAACCGCGTTAAGTTTACTTTAGGTTTTCAATACTTTGTTACTTTCATTGATTATTCCAGATGCACTTGGTTATTTTTGATGAAAAATTGTTCTGAATTATTTCATATCTTTCAAACTTTTTTCAATAGTTAAGAGAGTAAAGAGAGTGAAAAAAATATTTCTAATTTAGTGGGATGCATTACTCCACTCTATGATCTCATATATATATATATAGGATTACAACATTTAAAACAATAACCACCAACTACTAACTACTAACCACTAACTAATAATAATTCTAATACTCTCCCTCAAGCTGGAGCATACAAATTATATGTGCCAAGCTTGGAACAAATAAATTCAATTCAAGGTCCTCTTAAAGACTTTGTCAACACATCTGCAAGTTGATCATTGGACCCGACAAATTCAGTGCAAATTTCTTTAGACAACAATTTTTCACGAATAAAATGACAATCAAGTTCTATATGTTTGGTCCTTTCATGGAACACCGAATTAGAGGCAATGTGGAGAGCTGCTTGATTGTCACAATACATCTTCATTTGTTGGATCTCACAAAATTTCAGTTCTTGAAGGAATTATTTCACCCACACTAGTTCATAAGTAAGAGATGTCATTGTTCTATATTCAGCTTCAACACTAGATCAGGCCACTACATTTTGTTTCTTACTTTTTCAAGAAATAATATTACCTCAAATGAGAACACAATATCCTGTAGTGGAACGTCTGTCCATAGGGGATCCAACCCAATCGACATCACAATACCCAGATATTTGGGTACCCCCTTTATCTTCATACAACAGACCTTGTCCTGGAGCTTTTTTGAGGTATTTTAGGATGTGAACGACATCATTCCAATGATCAGTACGTGGATTTTGCATAAATTGACTCACAACTTCAACGGCAAAAGATAGGTCAGGTCTGGTAATGGTGAGATAAATGAGTTTTCCAACAAGTCTTCTATATCTCTCAGGATCAGAGAGCGGTTCACCTTGACCCGCCATTAATTTCTGATTTGGATCCATTGGGTTGTTTACTGGTCTACAATCAATCATGCCTATCTAAAACATACTTTCTTTGGGAGACTACGATGCCTTCTTTTGATTGAGTCACTTCAATCCCTAGAAAGTATTTGAGACAGCCAAGATCCTTAGTTTGGAAGTGATTGCATAAATGTTTCTTTAGCAAAGAAATTTTATCAACATCATCCCCTGTAATAACTATATCATTTACATATACAATTAAATAAACACATTTTCTTGAAGCAATATAATAAAAAACAGAATGATCTGTTTCACTTCGTTTTAATCCAAAACTTTGAACAATGTGACTAAACTTTCCAAACCAAGCACCTGGAGATTGTTTGAGACCATTGAGAGAACGATGTAACTTACAAACCAAACTAGACTCCCCTGAGCAACAAAACCAGGAGATTGCTCCATATAAATTTCCTCCTCAAGATCACCATGCAAGAACGCATTCTTGATATGTAACTGATGAAGAGACCAATGACGGATAACTACCATAGCAAAGATAAGTCGAATAGTAGTCATTTTGGCCACAGAAGAAAAAGTATCACTGTAGTAAATGCCATAGATCTGAGTATAGCATTTTGCTACTAATCTAGCTTTGAGTCGATCAACTTTACCTTTTGGTCCAACTTTAATGGCATAGACCCAATCACAATCAACAGTCTTCTTCCCATCTGGAAGAGGAATTAAGTTCCATGTACCATTGTACTCAAGAGCCTGCATTTCATCAATCATGACTTGTCGCCATCCAGGATGAACAAGTGCCTCTTTCACATTTTTTGGAATAGTAATAGTGGATACAGAAGAAACAAAAGAGAAATAGGAAGGAGACAATCTATGATAGCTAAGAAAATTGTAAATGAGATGTGGATTACGAGTAGAGCGAGTACCTTTGCGAATGACAATGGGCCAACTTGAGTCATCATTATCAGGAATCGTGGTATCAGGGGATGATTGAGAAGGATCTGCTGAGGAAAACTCATCTTGGGACATGGGACTGATCATTTGGCTCCTGTGTTGATAGGTAATAAGAGGTAGTGATGAGGATTCCGGTGTATTTTGTGTGGAATTTTGGGTGTCAGGAGGAGGAGGAGGTACAAATGGCTCCACTAAGGATATAGGTAGGACATTTTGGACAGAACTAATATCCTGCATAGAAGAAGGGAAGAAGGGAGTTGACTAAAAAAAAATGACATTAGCAGACATGTAGTACCTCTTGGTTTCAGGAGAATAACATCGATATTCTTTTTGAAGACAAGAATATCCCAAGAAGACACATTTGATGGCTCTAGCTGATAGTTTATCTAAACCTAGAGACATATCATGAACAAAACATATGCAACCAAATACACGAGGAGAAACATGAAAGAGTGGGTCCTTTGGCAATAGAATAGAGTGTGGACCTTTATTGTTAAGAGAAGAAGATGACATTTTGTTAATGAGAAAACATGCAATAAGAATAGCATCTCCCCAATGATGAACGGACATATTTCCACCAAGTAATAAGGTACGAGCAGTTTCAACCAAATGTCTATTTTTTCGTTCTGCTATACATTTTGTTGTGGTGTGTGAGGACAAGTAGACTGGTGTAAAATGCCTTGGGAGCTTAAGAGAGTGGAGAAATAAGTAGAAAAGTATTATTTGGCATTATCACTTCGTAAAATTTTGATTACTTTTCCAAATTGATTTTTAATTTCGTTAAGGAAAGACTTAAAGATAGGTAATAATTCAGAACGGTCTTTCATTAGATAAATCCAAGTACACCTAGAAAACTCATCAATGAAGGTAACAAAATATCTATAGCCAAATGATGAGACACGACTAGGACCCCAAATATCAGAATGAACAAGAGAAAAGACAGTCACATCTAGATTCAGAACGTTTAGGAAAAGAGGACCCAGTATGTTTCCCTAGTTGACATGATTCACATTCAAAATTTTGAAGAGTCTGAAGTTCAGGAACCATTTTTTTTAATCTTGATAAGTGAGGGTGCCCTAAACGTTCGTGTAATAGTTTTGGAGACAAGGATGCAACACACGATACAGATGATTTAATCCTTTGACTCCTCTTGATTTGTTGCCTTTGCCTAACATTTCTATGTTTAAGCATAAGGAAGCACAGGCTAAAGCAGAATATGTGAAGAAGCTACATGAGCAAGTAAAAGCTCAAATTGAAAAGAAGAATGAGAGCTACGCGAGGCAAGCTAACAAGGGTAGGAAAAAGGTGGTGTTCCAACCTGGTGATTGGGTTTGGGTACACATGAGAAAGGAAAGGTTTCCTGAACAAAGAAAGTCTAAACTTCAACCTAGAGGAGATGGGTCATTCCAAGTCTTAGAGAAGATCAATGATAATGCTTATAAGATTGATCTACCAGAAGAGTATAATGTAAGTTCTTCTTTTAATGTTGCTGACTTGACTCCTTTTGATGCAGGAGATGAATTCATAGATTTGAGGACAAATGCTGCCCAAGAAGGAGGGAATGATGTGGACATAAAGGCCCAAGCCCATAACGAGAAGGATCAAGACCAAGATTTAATCCAAGACTTAGGTGGACCTATGACAAGAGGCAGACTCAGAAAAGCACAAGAGGCATTGCAATACAAAGTGACCAATTTGCTAAAGGCCCAACTATTAAAAGATCCAAACATGGAGGAGTCTAGACCTATCACATGCATAGAATGTTTGGAGAGCTAGGAGGCCCAACTAAAAGATTTAGTTTTTATTATTATTATTATTATTTTATTTGCTATAGTGGGGATTTGAACCCAAGACCCAAAGCTTATAATGCCTTCACTGAACCATCTGGGTAACTTAACTTTGCTTGGGATATTAGGATTTTAATTTATCTTTATTTCCTGCAATGAGACAAACTCATAAACTTAACTTGTATTAAACATTTGGGAATTCAGAATGAACGGACGGAATATTCAGATTACTTTGTGAGTTGTTGCTCTGCTAGGGTTCTTCCTTGCATCACTTGATCTTATCAAGAATTATTCGATTCTTGTGGCGATTCTTCTTGGCTTATCAAATATTCTTATTTGTGGCGCCTACGGTATCTTTTATGTTTTTTCTGTTTTCTATTTCTAATCAAATCAACTCTTAAAACCTAACCCTAAATTGTTTCCCTTCTATTTGAGTGTCATCATGAATGCTATAACATTCAAAGATAGCTTCCCTATTCCAATTGTGGATGAGTTACTTGATGAGTTGTATGGGGCACAATTCTTCTCTAAACTAGATTTAAGGTCTGGGTACCATCTGGTTAAAGAAGAGAATAGGCACAAGACAACTTTTAGAACTCATCAAGGGCATTATGAATGGTTGACAATGCCATTTGGTTTAACCAATGCTCCTGCCACCTTTCAATCCCTCATGAATGACATTTTTCAAGGTATCTTAAGGAAATTTGTCTTAGTTTTCTTTGATGATATCTTAGTATACAGTCCAACATGGGGAAAACATCTAAAGCATCTAGAGACAGTCCTGCAGATTTTACAATACCATCAATTGTATGCCAAATTGTCAAAGTGTAGTTTTGGCTTACAAGAGGTGGATTACTTGGGTCATACGATATCTGGAAAAGGTGTGTCCATGAATCAAGACAAAATTAAGGCAGTTATGCAATGGCAAGTTCCAAACAACCTCAAACAATTGAGAGGTTTTTTGGGACTCATAGGTTATTATAGAAGATTTATTAGGCACTATGCCTCGATTGCTGGACCTTTAACTAATCTTCTAAAAAAATACTGTTTCAAATGGGATGAAGAAGCAACTCATGCTTTTGAAGCTTTAAAAGTTGTTGTTACTCAAGCCCCTGTGCTGATGCTTCTTGATTTCTCCATTCCATTTGTCATGGAGACTGATGCTTTAGGGTCAGCCAGCAATGCTTATTCAGAACAAACATCCCATTGCATACTTCTCAAAGAAGTTGAATCCGAGAATGCAAAAACAATTTGCTTATGCAAGGAAGTTTTTTGTCATTACTGAAGTTGTGGCCAAGTTTAGACATTATCTTTTGGGACATAAGTTTGTGATTAGAACGGACCAAAGGAGTTTGAGAAGTCTCACTGGGCAGGCCATTCAAACACCGGAACAATAGAAATGAATACATAAACTACTGGGGTATGACTTTAGGATTGAATATAAACCTAGAAAAGACAATGTGGTTGTTGATTCTTTATCCAAATCCTTTATGATGGCATGGTCACAGCCTCAAGGAGACTTCATACCAGAATTAAGAAGAGCTCTAACTACAGATGAAGAGGTGAGGAAGATCATTGATGATTGTGTAGCCAGCAGGCATTCTGTTCAACATTATGCAGTCCATGATGGCTTACTTTACTGGAAGGACAGGCTAGTCATACCTGCATCTCATGAATTAGTTCAAAAATTTCTCAAAGAATTTCATAATTCTCCACTAGGTGGTTATGCAGGAATCACTAGAACTTTCAACATACTTGCTTAGCAATTCTATTGGGTTGGAATGCATCAGGATGTGAAACAATTTGTTCAAAATTGTTTGATCTGTCAGCAAGCAAAATCAGTCACTTCTCTTCCCTTGGGGTTACTACAACCTTTACCAGTGCCAAATCAAATTTGGGAGGATGTGGCTATGGACTTTATCACTGACCTTCCAAATTCTCAAGGTTATACTGTGATCATGGTAGTGATTGACCGGCTATCCAAGTATGATCACTTCTGCACCTTTAAAGCTGATTACAATAGCAAACAGGTAGCTAAAGTCTTCTTGAAAATGGTCATAAAATTACATGGATTCCCTAAGACTATTGTCTCTGATAGGGATAAGGTTTTTGTAAGTCAATTCTGGCAACACGTATTCAAATTAAGTGGAACTACCTTGCACATGAGCACAGCTTATCATCCTCAGTCAGATAATCTGTCAAAAGCTCTCAATAAATGCTTGGAGATGTATTTAAGGTGCTATACCTATGAGTCTCCTAAGGAATGGGTCAAATTTTTACCTTGAGCTGAGTTTTGGTATAACACTGCTTATCATCACAGCAGTGGTATGACTCCATTTAAGGTAGTTTATGGCAGAGATCCTCCACAATTGATTAAGTACAATGCTAATTCTCATGATCCTCCAACAGTCCAAGAAGAGCTTAGTAAGATACAGACAATGATCAACAAACTGAAACAAAATTTAATAAGATCTCAACAACATATGAAGAAATATGCTGATCCAAAATGAAATGACATGGACTTTAAGCTTGGTGATATGATGTTGATCAAGTTACAACCTTACCGCCAGAACTCAGTGGCTCTTCGAAAGAATAAGAAGTTAGGAATGAAGTACTTTAGGCCGTTTCCGGTCATTGAAAGAATTGGCTTTGTTGCTTATAAGCTGCTTTTGCCACAACAACAAAAATTCATCCAGTTTTCCATTTTTCTAAGCTAAAACCTTGCAAGGGAGATCATACTCAACTATGTTCCAGCAATCACTAGCGATGCCGAGACTCTCCCTATTATCTATCATGCTGCTGTGCTTCAAGTTCGTAGAATTATGCAAGGGAATCAGACAGTAAAACAGTTCTTGATGCAATGGGAAGGGTTAGAAGAACACCTCCCACATGGGAAGATGAGTTTGCCTTATGCAAAGCCTATCCAAACTTCAACCTTGAGGACAAGGTTAATTTTAAAGGAGGAGGAATTGTAATGAGTGAAGGTCATGAAAGGGAGGGAAAAGATCTTGAAAGCAGGTCAGAAAACGTGAGGGTGGAAGAAGCACGTGGAGACAGGCACGTGAGGAGAAATAATGTGAGGCTCAAAGATTATGATTGGGAAGGAGCGCATTAAATAGAAATTCGTTAGAGGAGAGTAGGGGGAATTGTCATTACTTCCCTCTGTCAAAATTCTTTGATTCTTTCTTTGCCTTCCTTTTTCTTTACATATGTCATCTTCTTTTGCATTGTAAATGGTATTAAAATCCGTATAAGAACAAAAATCCAGAAAAGTTTCATAAATACTACTATCATCATTTCCATTTCCGTATTTTACGATACTGTTACAGAATGCAGTTTTTAAGATTTTTTTCATTGTAGTTTATAAAAACAAAACATTTTTTGTTAAAAAAAGTTTCAAAAACAGTTTTTAAAAGAACAGTACATAGATATTTGTCACTTGCACATTGTATGAGATCAAAACAATGCTTTACATGTTACAAGAGTACCATCAAACTTAAAAATAAAAGTATAAAAAACAACTAAGCTATTTTTGTTTCTCAATTTTAGTAATTTGGAAACAATATTCAAACTACATGCAGAAAATAGTTATCAAAACGTGTTTTTCTGTTCTTTCATTTTTTTTAAATGTTGAAAAGGGCCTTTGACCACTACAATCAAACAAGGCCTGATTGAATCTTTTGTCAAGTTTCAGATGAAATGAAATCCAGTTCTTGGTATCCAAGTCCTTTTGGAAGGTTAACCTATTAGCAAGGTGGAGAAGACTTTTGTTTGGATAGTGGTAATAAACAAATTATTTGATGTGACTATGCATCACAAGATTACCACTGCTTAAGTTATGTGTTTCTGGAGTTCTGAGACCCACAGGCTCAGACACTTCTTTCCGCATCAAGAATTGGCTTTTGGTATTTTGAGGAGCATTGGGTTTCTGCATAATCCTGTATTGGATCATGTCTACTCATTTTAGAGGCTTTGCAAGAGGCGTAGTAAAATTCTTTCGCATTGTACATTGTTAGCTAGTTATAGGGATTTATGGACGGAAATACTCAATTTTTTAACAACAAATTTCTTCCCTTTCATCCTTTGAGGGACTGATTTGTCTTCTTGGAATCTATGTGAGAATCCCACACATGATTTCCATGTGAGGGACTCTCTTATAGATAGACAAAGGGCTGTATTTTCTTCAATCCAGAAAAGAAAAGAAACTATAGCAGGGTAAGGCCTCAGAAAATTGGTTTTATTCAATTATCAAACTATCAGTAGATAATGTATGTGAATGCACTCCCCATCCTTCTATTTTCGAAATCAAAAGGAGCAAAACGGATATAGGAAAAAATAGTATATTACTCAATATGAGAGAAGTGCTTACTAATGTACTCAAAACCACTCTAGAAAACAAACAACACCTTTAGATATGAACATAAAAAGAAGCAAGACAAATATCACTGCCAACTAGCAATATAAGGAACTCAAGAAAGGTGGCAATCCACTGCCATTTGCCAATATGTTCCTCAATCATAAATCAAATAGGATACTATTAAATTTAGCCCCATGCAAAAAGGAAAAAGGGGTGTTGTTAAGTACTACTTATTGCCCTTAGAAAACTATTAAGAAACGTTTAAAGTCCTAAAAATAACATTTAATAACCCTGTTGTGGACCCATTTTGGACCTGGATGTGTTGCCCATAGCTTGCAATAACTACCTAACTGTTTTTTTCCACCCATCTACCACTATTTACGGCATCAAATGCCTTTAGGTAATTTTCATGACTCATTTACACACCTATATCTGGTCGTATTTAAGCTTTGGAGTATCAATGTATTTCTTTGTGCGTTCTGCTACTTGCTGGACATCGCTCCATCTCCTCATGTGCTCGTGCCCATTTAGGATACAAAATTACCCGATAAAAAATTATATATAATGAATAAATCCTCAAGTTTAATTTTTTTGGTTTCCCGCGACGTTCAAAGGAAGTCGGACAATAAATTTGGAACCTTCCCCCACCTTGGTTTGCTATGTCATGGGACAATAAACCCTTCCGCTAAACCCAACCCGCAGTTGCTTCAGGCATACAGTATTATCTCTCATGCATACAGCATCATCTAATCTTGCTTTGACACCTCATTCAAAGAGTAAGTCTATGGCTAGCCTATGTTTGAAAAGCCGTGGAGTCCCACTCAACGCAAATCCACCGTGGGGGAAAGATTAGCATAAACATGTTTTGCGAAGTGAAAATGTCACAAAACAAGCACACGCTATATATCAACAAATAAACGATAGCACAACTTTTCTACACTAACAATGCATCAAACTTAAATTCCAAAACCTCCTACTCACTAATTTGAATTACATAACGAAATTCCTAAAACACTAATCGTTTGAATTCTTCCTACGATTTTGGAATTTCCAAACGAAATGGAATTAGAATGGTTAGGAAGTACCGTCCAGATATCAGCGGGGACGAGGACGATGATGGAGAGGGAAGAGAGCCAGGTGTATCCAACGGTGAAAAGCACGTAGCGAGGGACGCGTGGGGCTGCGTAGTACCTCAGCGTGAAAAGCACCATCCCCACAGTGAGGGGCAGAGAGATCATGTAAAACACCCACATCTCTCTCTACCCGATGCGACACTCGACGGATCAGATCCGATCGAATCGGATTCCGGTGATATGGTAGTGGCGAGGTGGAGGTGGTGGTGACTCACTTTAGCTTCTGGTAAAAGTTTGGTGAACAAACGGCACCACTACGCAACGCGCAACGCGCAACACTTCCCTCTGGGCTTCGCGCCTTATTTCCGTTTCAGGATATCTATCTGGGCCTTCAGGGCCCGTATCTTTCTCTTGCTGTCACTTCTGCAACTGAGTCAGCATAAATGTTTTTCCTAGGCTTCTTTCCTCTACACTGCTATAATTAACGTCTAATTTTGTTCTTTTGGTAATATTTAACTCTGGTTTACTCTTACAATAACTGTATTTTTTATCACTTTTTTCGATAATTACTGTTTTGGGAAAAATTACACTGTTTTTATTTTCTAAATTTGAAATGTATTATTTTTTCTCTTTTTGTTATTTAAACTAAAAATGAATAAAAAATTAGAAAGAATAAAAATTACCTTTTAATTTTTTAAAAATAAAAAACATATTTTGCCATACTGTTTCTTATATTTGGATTTAAAAAACAAACAAAAAATGGTGGAGGTTGGGTTTAGTTCTTAGTTAAGGTTTGTCATTTAGGAAAAAATTCACAAGAAAAGTACTTTTTCCATCAAAATCAGGTTGTGTATAGGTTTGAATTTCGTGTGTAAACCAAAAGGAATCCAAGTAGAAAATTAAGTAGACCTTCACTTCTTTATTATAATATGTACCTACTTCATTTTATTATTTAAATTATGTGGGGAATGTTGATAAGTATTTTATTTTTTAATTTGAAACTTAAAACTGCAATTGCTTTATTTTTCTTTTTCAATTAATTTATAACAAAATATAATAATGTAAGCTAGTTGCAAAGCAGTAAAATTTTATTATTAAATTAATAAAACTTAAATTACACGTCACAACTTTTTTAATTTTGCACAACTTTCCTGTTTACATTTTTTAAAGGGCTATAGTTGCTTCTGATAAAATTATAAAATGTGCACATTGACATTGTCGATGATTTCAGCTTCAACTGTGTTTGTATTTTATTTATCAATATTTAGTTTTTCATCACCTATAAATAAACCACTAAATAAATTTATAAAAATTTTCATTTTCTTAATTTTTTAAAAATAAGTTTTGTTATTTCATTTTATGAATTATTATATCTTGAAATAGAGTATAAATTATTTACTTTAAGTTAAACATTCTCTCTCTAAAAGATAATACCGTTGTTCTCATTCAAAATATTTATAATCTATTTTTTATTAATAATAAATACTGTTTGGTTTAATTAATATTATTTTAATTTTATATTTTTTTAATTAGATTTGTTCTCCTAATATTTAATTTAATTAAAATTAATATTTGAGATAGTAGGAACATAATAGATAAGATATATTTTTTTATTCTAATTTAAGATTGGAATAAAATAGTTATATGAATGCAATAAAATAATGTTTATAAAAAAATATTATTATTATCTTACTTGTACTTAATAAAAAGTACGAAGACTTTAAATTATAATACATATTTATAATTTATTTGTTATTAATAACAAATATTGTTTTATTTGATTAATATTATTTTAATTTTATGTTTTTAATTATATTTTTTTCTTAAGATTTGTATTATGATAACATTTTTTAAAAATTTACAAGTTGAATAATAATAATATATATGAATTATATCAAAACATTTAAATATAGTGTATAAAAAGATATTTTTTATTTTTTATATTGTAAAATCTTTTTTTTCAAGTTTTACTTAACCCCATTTACTATGACAGTCATCTATCATTCATAATAATATGTAACCAATCCTTAAACCTAATTCTATAATTCAAACCACAGTTCGTGACGTTCAATTTCACCATTCCCATTTAACAGCGAATGCAATCTTATTACTCATAAAAAATTCATCTCTCAATGGTTATTTCAAGAGTTTTAATTTTAGTCCATAAAAAAAATTATTGATTTGCATTTAAAAAGTTTAAATTTGTTTTTAACCCTATCACTATATATATATCATAATCAAAATATCCATCTAACTATTATTACTATTTCATTTTTAATGATACCAAATTTGAACAAAAGATAGTTTAAAATGGTTAAGTTTCAAAACATAATTAATTAAATTAAATAACATTAAACAACTTTTAATTAAGGCAAAAAAAAATTTGTTGTTGTTCCATTTTGTCATTAATTAACCACCATCACAAATAGGTCAATAACTGGAATGCACTACACAGGTCCACACCCTCTGTACAATAAATTTAGAGTACATGAGTCATACAAACTACCCAATTTTAAAGCTTTCTTCACTCTCAATAATCACTAATTAGGAATGCTTTTATAACACAAACTTTAAGTCACCTCCCCTTTATGACTCCACAAGTGAACACTATGAAAATTCTTTATACACTGCCATTGAATTCTACTTTGCGTACTTTTTGTGTGGCATGACAACATTACTAAAGTGTGATCTTGTAGTCTATTTTTCAAACTGTCCAACCCATGCTCAAATTTTGTTTTCACCTACTAAATTGAGATTTGGGAATAAATAAGAGACAAGATTTGAAAGAAGTGTTAACTTTCTAAAATCTTCTTTTGAATTAGTCATTGGGGAATTGTGATAAATAAGAAAGCGCAAATCATGCTAAGTAAGTTTGAGAAATGGCACATGAAAGTGTGTCTCTTAATTAACCCACTTTTACTTTTTGTTCAGTATATATGAATTAAAATGTCCAAAACTTTCATGAGTCTAATTCTTGTAAATAATAAGGATTAAGACTGTATTATTACAATTGATAATGAAAGTTTTTATCATTAATTTTTGGATAAATTGTTGACAGCTACCAAATAAAAGTTTCATCATTGGTTATGATCTCTTAGGAATATATCGTTATTTAATTTAATGAAGTGATGTGCCGGAGGATGAAACACATAAAAGGTAGCCTTGCAACCTTAACAGCAACATGAAAAAAAAAAAAACAAGTGTTATTTAGCAATTGAGTGTGCAAGTTTGAATAGTTAAAAAACTGGTAGATAAAATATTATTCCTTTTAGAAATTATAAAAATGATTAACAAAATATTAAAAATAAAATTATAATTTAAATATAATATTACTAATAAAATAATAAGAAACTAATTCTCTCAAATAATATAGATAAACTTATACACATTTGTTTTTTTTTTATAAAAAGAATACATTTTCAAAAGTTTAGTTGAAAAAGTAATATAAAGTAGATGATAATAATTATACAATAGATTTAAAGTTCCTGATTTTCTCATCTTACTTAAAAACATTTTTTTACATTTTTAGTAGAGTTTTGAGAGATTTGTTTTAAATTATTGTTTTAAGAACATGAGAATGTTTTGGGTAAAATGATACGATAAAAAAATTTCGAAGACAGTGATATCATAATCCTTATGATTAAAAATTAAATAATTTGTGACCTTTTTATTTTTATCACAATCCTTATGATAAAAAATTAAATAATATATTCAGACATTTTGATTTATACATGACATCTTTTATCAACAAAATTAAAAAAATTGTTAGAAAAAATTAACTCTTTAAAAACTTACTCATACACACGAAATTACCATCTAAATATACTGTGATAATAAACTTAATCCAATGAGATGATTTGAAGATTAAAAAATATATTAGGTTAAAGTAAAACAAAAATTATATAAATTACATCAATTTATTTTTATAGTATCAGTTTAGAGTATAACTTATATATACTAAAATTAAGTTAATCTACGTAAAAATAAAAGTAAGATTGATCATCGATTTTTTTTATTGATTTGTAGGAAAAGATTAAATTATATGGAATTGACCAGACATCATTTAAATAAATTATTTTGTAATGTTTAATAAACTATGATTGAAGAATGTAAAATTTTGCATTTTCTCAAAGGCTATTTTGTGGAAGATTTGAAAAAAAAAAAAACTATTTTAGAAAACAAATAAGTTTTGGAAAAGTTATATTGAAATGGTGATTTCGCGTTGTAGAATGACCGAACATGTCCCATGAAAGGAACAGGAAATGAGCGAGTAGGGAAAGGTTTCTACCTAATAAAGCAAGGGAAAGTGACTTGTTTGAAACTTATGGTCCAAATTACATGACTTTTTAAGTTTCATCTCATTCAATCCCAAAACCCAAAAGTTATTTTATTTGAGAAATTAAAAAAAGAAGAATATATATATATATATATATATATTTATATGTGTATAAAAATGGTAAAGTAACATGGCGTGGACCCAATGGCCCAATCAGGACAATAAACACTCATCAAGATGCAACAACTCCAGATTTTATGGCAGGCAGAAGCAATAAAACAAGTTGTGTGGATGAAAGAGGTGCAGTTTAATCTATCAGACACGCATAGTAGTAATTGAATTTAACTACTCATAATAATGGGTAGAGAGATGAACACATTAATTTGGCAGATTATTTAACAGTGAGTAGACAGCTGCGAAAATTAAGAGATCCAATTATTGAGATGGTTGAATTTGGAAACATGGAAAAAGGTGAATTATTTGGTCGGGCACAATATAATGGTCACGCTGCCTCCTCTTCTTCCTTTTTCTATCAAAGTCAACCCTTTGAAAAATGCTTCCACTACACCTACGATTCTGAAAAGTAATGCATCCATTTGTCTCAGTTTTTAGGGTTTAGGCTATTCATAACTACTTCTATGGTGTATTTTGAAATTTTTGAAATTCGCAAAATGTAATTGGAGAGTAAGAGGAACTTGGAAAAATATTTTTAATGCTTCATGGATTTTATTGTGACTCGTAAATGTTTTGGTCACTAATATAATTACTCACAAACGTATAATATAAATACATCTAGAAGAGTACTTATAAAGGAACCACACCAAGGAACTACAATTAAATTTTGTATCTAAATAATTTCTCAATTTTAATGCCATATTTTATTAAATAAGTTAGTATCAAGTTAAAACTTTAATATTGATTAGAGTCAACGTACACTTTAAGACTTAAATTCTTTAAGGAAGAAAGTGCATAATTAAAAAAAAACTATGGTTATAGTCATTTATTAAAAAAACTAATGATTAAAAATATATAACTCTATTGTTACACATATGCATTTATGTTATATATTATAGTATTTTATAATTATATTAATTAAGGGAAATTGGTGGTGATTATAACTATATTTTAAATTGTAAAATACACCTTCAGTTAGAGAGTTACGTTTTGATATGCAACTTTTATGCAAATAAGGATGAATAAAATACTTTAACTTAACTACAATAAACATGAATTAAATTCTAAAAATGGTTGGATAAAGCTAAACTAAATAATTATTTATATAAACTAAATAATTATTTATATAAACTAAATTTGTATTATAGTTTAAGTAAATTAAACTACTCTAAAGTATGTTTTGACTGTTTGATTTATTACCAACGAACATATTATTTTAAAGTATATTTTTTAAAACCATTTTATATTTCAGGTAGTTAACCAGTTTTATTTCAAAGAAGACCAATTTCTTAAAACAAAAGTAAATACTAACTTAATTAAAATTTTGGTAAATATTTTCTATATATATTACAGCACCAATTCAGTTGCCAACAATCCGAACCCACAACATCCAACTTTGGGAGGTGTGGTGGTTGTCAAGGTTTCATTTTGATGGTGCAATGAGATTCAGAATAATGATGTCAACCAAGTCACATGATGCTTGTCCACTTCTCAACTTGTGAATCACACACCTCAGTGAATCAGGCCAAACGATTTTGGCACATTATAACCACAATTATGAAGATTTCTATTAGGGTTCTCCAAAGTGAAACTAGAAAAGAAAAAAAACCACTTTACTAGGTTATTCCTATACATAAACATCACATACCTTTTTGGCTACAATCAAACATACACCTGCCCCATTGCCGTTTTCCCATTTCCAACACGAGCAAAGTTTCTCAATTAAATGTGTCAAATTTATAAATTGACTACTTTAAATTGGACTTCAAAACTCATGATTTACCCACCTTCCATTCATAGACCAAAAAGGGGGAAAAAGATAAATCATCATTACCTACAATCCCAGGTCCAACGTTGAAGCTCTTCCAAGTTCCAAGCTCAGATTTTCAATGCTTGAGCATGTTGTCGATTATTAAAAGAATTTTCCAATCTGGAACCAAGTAAGACTGTGAATGAATGCTGTTGCTCATGCTGACATCATTCACCAACTGCTAGAGTGTATTCGACTTCATAACCCAATTATTAACTCATATGCCTTTGCGAGCAATTAGAGAATGATTAGGATTTTGTTTAACATCATTGCCCACATCATGCACAAATCTTTACGCACCAACACAATTAAATACACAAGTTTATATGATGGACCTATGAGCAAAGTAGGTAGAAGTAGTGTTGCCAAAAACAAAATGTTTCATCAAAATATACAAACTTTTTGAATGCATGCCAGTTAATTAAAAACCTCAACTTTTGCTTGCAATTAATTATAAAGATATAAATCTTTTTTTCTAATTACTATTAGTTTTTATGGTTAGATTAGATGTTTTATGACAGGTATTCATATCTTGTTATTGCAAACCTACACCCACTATTTTTCTTTTTCTTAACGTATGTTACAATTGAAAACAATAGCATAGGCAAAGCTTTAGATATATATATATACTCTAATGTGAAGTTTCTATCAGATGTAAATGCTACATGCGTGAAAATGACATCTAACTAAATTCCAAATTAATGGATATCACGATGAATCAATCAAGGTCCACCACTCAAAAACTGCATTTATGGTGTAACGAATGGACGATGGATCAATTTAATACGAGCCAACGCATTGTGACCAGAGAAGTTTGCTTCGCCATAGTTTAACATTGTCACCAAAAAGAAATTAGTTCCACGTTTGGTGCCAGCAATGAACTTCAAACGGTGTCTCTGTCTTTGGTTACCAGCACAGTTTCTTTATTCAAATATACACCTGTATTTCAAACTTTGACTAATTTTTCGTTTAAACACAATAATACAAAGTACTTAATTCATTATGTTTTTGTTTTAAAAATTCTGAAAAAGACACTGGGCACCAATGTTTTTCTGAGCATTATTATTCCTCCATTTGTTTAATCCGCATACGAGTAATTAAATACCTCTTTATAACTTGGAAAGAGCCAACCAACCCCATAGCAACGTTTGTTTTTGGCTGACGTTGTTGGGATTTCTTTTGTAAGGTCCAAGTTTTTTCAATTTTTGGTCCTCGATTTGCTATTGCTTTCATCTCTCATAAAGAAGAAAAAATAAATAAAAAGAAAATTAATTGGTGCCTCTTCAGTACAAAAGCCAAAATAAATTGGCTGGAAAGAAAGTCCCTTCAGCAAATAATCCAAAATCTTAACACCATCATTCGCTTCTCTCCCAAACAGCGGAAAAGAAAACCAAAAAAGCAAAAGCGAAAGAAACAGGAAATTTCATTTTTTTTTTCTCTGAAGAAAACGTAGTCACTAGTCACACCCGTTAAAAAAATATTAACCTTCATAGTCTATATCTCAATATTCTAACATCTAAGATATTGTAAATATTTATTAGAGGCATAAATTTTCTATATATAAAATTACACGTATCCGTCATGGATGATATTTTTTCTTAAATTGGATATGATTAGATACAACTACCATAAGTAATACATTTCTCATTTCAAATATTTAATACTATCATATATTTATAATTTAACTTTGAAAACATTAATTAACCAAAAAATATGCTAATTTTTATAAAAAACTATATACTTTTCTAAATGTTAGACGAAATATATGCAGACATAGTATTATTTATCACGTTAAATATTAATAATTATATTATATACTTTCCTACACAGTCTTTGACAAACTAAAAGCGTAACCGCCCTCTTGAGTCTTCACCGTTCCTCTCTTCATCCGATGCGCACTCACACAAACGCACATTTCGTCTATTATCCGGTTAGCGCTACTTTCCCGAATTCTCCGATGAAAGGCGGCGAGGAGCGTCACCGGACGGATACCTAAGAAGAGCTATCTCTCTCTCTCTGATTCTCCGGCAGGCATGTCCGAGGACACGGAGCGGGCGCTGCAGACGTTCCGAGCGCTGGTGGAGAACGCGGACCGGAAGTTTGGGCGCGTTCGAGACGTGGCGGCGTACGGAGGCGGCGCGAGCCGGCAGCAGCAGCAGCAACACGCGTTTCAGAAGGTGTTCAAGGCGTACACAAGATTGTGGAAGTACCAGCAGGAGAACCGCGCGAAGCTGGTGGAGTGCGGGCTGAGGCGGTGGGAAATCGGCGAGATCGCGAGCCGAATCGGACAGCTGTACTTCGGGCAGTACACGAGGACGAGCGAGTGCAGGTTCCTCGTCGAAGCCTACGTCTTCTACGAGGCCATACTCAGCAGAAGGTACTTCCAGGGATCCGAACCGAACGCCAAAGATCTCGGAGTTCGCTCCAAGGAGTTGCGCTTCTACGCGCGCTTTTTGCTCGTTTCGGTCATTCTCAACCGGACCGAGATGGTTAATCACCTCGTCGAACGGTTTGGGGCTTTGGTTGAGGATTGCAAAAGTACCTTTCGGGTAATCTATGCATTTTCTTGTTCTCTTCTAAATTTGCTCTAATGTCTTGTTTCAGCTTTCGAAGAGGAAAGTGAACTAATAATATTCATCTTCTTTTTATGTGCTTGCAGTTATTTTGTTTTCTTGTTTCTACTAATGAAGTTGTTAGGAGTGAAACGATGTGTATATGCTTGGTGTTTCCTTTCTTGTGAAGAGTGAAAATACTTTTACTTAGGGATTAAGTAAGAAGCTGCTCTGTGTAGATCAATTGGTTACTGGTCATTGTATGATACTTGATTTAGGGTCCGTAGATGAAAAGCTGAGGATGGTTAGATTAGCTTCTCGTGTTTTGGGCTATATGATAGAACAGAACAGCGATTATTTGCTGGCTTGATCTGTGTAGTGTACCGACCCCACCTAACCTCGTGTGTTTTTGCATGTGATATGGTAGAATTCACGGTTTTGTTTTATTTTTGTTTATTTTTTTGTTTTTATTTTTATTTTTTAATTTCTGGATAAAATCCGTGTCGCTAGGATATGTTTGTTTCATCGTTTGATGGCAATCCCATTGTAGGAGATTTTTGTAAGAAGTAATGTAATCTTTGTTTCATTTACATCTGATTTCACATGATATAATTGATGGGTACCTTATGGATGTTAATTTAAGCAAACTTTTTGTTCCCTTTGTTTTAGAATAGGTTATTTTCATAGGCTTAGCCGCAAGATTCATTTTTTCTTACAGATGGCCTGACTATTGCATGGACTATGAAAGTGATTAGTAGTGGTGTTCTGGAATAGAATATATATCAAGGTTATTGAAGAATCTCAATTTTACAGTAATAAAGAAAAGCTAGTGGTGATTTTTTTAAAGAAATAGCCTCCCATTTTAGAACCATATTAATGCTCTAGATCGACTGGGTTTCAAATTATACTCTACTATGATATATGCGGGGGCCAGTTTTTTCTAGAATAAATTGTTGGTGCCGTGATGATTTTCTTGTCAATCTTATAAGAAGTTCTTGTCAGCAAGTATAATAATAAAAAAAGAAAATTCTGTCAGCTGGCAAAACAAAACTAATGATTCTGAAATTCCTTAGTACATTACATATGCTGATTAATTTATTATACTGACTGTGGGGGCATTTTTCCAGAATAACAGTGATGGTGCAGTTATGTTTTTTTTTTCAAACTCTATTTATATAGAGTTATCTAATGAGAGCTATTTATATGGAGTTATCTAATGAGAGCGAGTTGTAGTAATTAATCTTGACAATACTACTAAACATGGACAGTCAAGATTGTTTTACTTGAATCTAATATTGATTTTCTATTTATGATTTTATTGTCAAAAATCAGTTCCTCAAACAAGATCATGCTCTCACCTTATAAGATCCGACACTCCTATGCACACATGACATAATTTAATGATGGATTTGTTGAAAGTCTGCTGTAAAATTCTTACCAGGAAGCTCATAATAATATAAATAAAATTTCTGTCAGTTGGCAAAACTGAACAAAAGGTTCTGTAGTTCCCAAAACATGTGTTGATTTGATAATTATATCAAAAGACCAAGATAATAAAAATGTTTATGCTGAAATAGATATACTTTATTATTTGCATGATGACAACAGCCATGTAGACTATAGTTGGTAATTTTTGTAAAATTACTATATCTTTTTATCTCTGGCCTGAAAACAGATCATCACTGCATTGTTCTGCTTCTGGTGTTGTCATTTAACTATTATTTTGCATTATTGATTCTTGTGCTTTAAGATTGGAAGTCAAGTGTCCACTTCTCAATCTGATTTTTTTTTTTTATACTTTTTAACTCGTACTGTTCAATATTAATATTTAACTTGTCTTTCTTTTAAAAAATCTCATTAATTTCCTTATAATATAATTTGTTAATGTTTTGTAGTCCATTATTCATCTGGAAAAAACCTTATATCAACTATATTACCTGTTTACTTATAAATATGAATCATTTCTTTTCAGGAAACTAACTTTAAGGAATGGAAGCAAGTGGTGCAAGAAATTAACCGTTTCACAAAAGTTGATAAGGGCTTTAGTTTCAGGCCCATGCGGTATTGTGCTACATTTGATAATCATCGAGCTTCTCTTCCTTGTGTGGCTCGTTTTCATGCAAAGAGGGTTTTAAAATTTCAAGATGCCCTGTTGACGAGTTATCATCGAAATGAGGTTAATACTGATTCACATTGCTGTGATGGTTCTTAAATTTAGATTAATAAATTACTTTAGTAGCTGAAAGGGCCTGGAGCTTATATATCCTCACTTTCAGGTGAAGTTTGCCGAGCTAACATTGGACATGTATAGAATGATACAATGTTTAGAATGGGAGCCTAGTGGAACATTCTATCAAAAGCAAACATTTAAACCTAAGGAGAACGGTGACACAATTGATCATTCAGGAGCTTCTGGAATAATAGACATGAATCTTACTGCAGATATGACTGATCCAACTATACCTCCTAATCCCAGAAAAGCTACCCTGTACCGTCCATCTGTGACACATGTGATAGCAGTGAGTTTTCAAATCTATTGGAAAGATTGTGTTACGTATTTGCTTGTCTACTTTCAAAATCTAGGCTGTTCTGGTAATTAGGCCTTATCAATATCAAATGATATTGCATGGCTATTTTATGGCTTCTCCCATCATGACTTGGATATTTTTGTTTTGCCTTTGGTGTGCTGCATTGGTTTAGTGATTATTATAATATGCTTTCTTGTCTGTTTGTGCACACATTCCTGTGGTTGTGGTTGTGTTTGTTTTTTTTTTTTTTTTTCCCTTTGTCTGTATTATCTGATTTATGAATTCATGCCAAAATTTTGACTTGTTAAAAATGGCTGTTTAGATCCTATTCATAAGACCGTTGAACGTACAATTTGTTATTTTTTATATAAGCTTCATGATTTGTGCAGGTTATGGCTACTATTTGTGAGGAGCTGCCACCAGACAGTGTTGTGCTAGTATATCTTTCAGCCTCAGGTTTACATTTTCTCTTTCTTTTTCAAGTATAGATAGTCTTCCACTGATGCCCACTATACTAGGTTAGTTACCTTAATGATCACTCATGCAGGGAAGGTTGGTCTTAATAATGTCTCTCAGTTGGAAAATTCTGGGGGTTCATCCAAATATTCAAGACACAAAGTCCCTTCTCAGACTTCTCATGGACACAATTCTGGACCTTCTGAAACTCAAAATAATGGCAAGAGAGAAATGAGCTACTATGACAATTGTTTGTGGTTTGGTCCCAAGGGAAACAGTGGTAAGTACATGCCCTGAGTCTATTCTCTGTAAAATTTCTATTCAGATTGTTTCTGGAAATGTTATATATTCTTTTAATTGTTGTGTTAGTTTACACTAAATGATGCATAAGAAACAAGTATATCTGTTGTTGCTGCACTTAAATGTGCCTTATTTGAATTATCAGGTACAAATAATCTCTACCCTGGCGATCTTATTCCCTTCACTCGGAAACCTCTTTTCTTGATTATTGACAGTGATAACAGCCATGCATTCAAGGCAGGTTTGTCATAACTCAGAACTTATGTATGAGTTGCCTGAGAACTTCTTTAGGTGGAGCTATTCAGGATATTCATTGAATCTAATTTTACTTTTAAATGGTTTGATAACATTTGTAATTTGTTTATTCATAATCCTTCAAATTGAATTTTAACTCACTAACCACAGAAAACCCTGCCTTGTTGAATTTTTTCTACAATTTGAATATGAATGTAGAACTTTCTTCAAGGACAGAGTTAAATGGATGGAAAGAAAGGACCATTGTCAACCATTCATGTGTGCCTACAAAATGAACAACAAATACAGCACCTTTCCGGTTATAATGATTTTGTGATAGTTTGTTTTAGGTGTGGGTGTGTTGTGGGGATGGGAGGAGGGACCATTGTAGAATTATTTGCTTGTTGGATTGTCCCATAGTAAATGTGTTTTGGAATTGATAGGAATTAGAAGATGCTGTCTTTTTTAGGAAATTGACCCATGTTATTTACTTTGACACGCCTTGACTGATTGTGTCCATCATAAATTATTATTTCAGGTTTTACATGGTGCTGAAAGGGGTGAAACGGCTGCTCTATTTCTTTCACCTTTGAGACCGATTTTCAAGAATCCATCTGATGTAAATTCAAATAATGGAAGCCAATTTACCTTTTTTTTGACTGCCCCTTTGTCAGCATTTTGCCAAATGATTGGTATTTTCCCCAATGAGGCCGATACAGTAAGCATATACACGAATAATCTTTACATTTCTCAAGTCAACTTTATTCTCGTTGATCTAATTGTGTGTTGTGTTAACCTGTAGGATCTCTACAATGAAGCAGAGAACATAATAGCTAATGCTTTCACTGAGTGGGAAATAATTCTTTGCTCATCAACTACCATGGATTTAGTATGGGCGCAGGTTATAAGTGATCCATTTCTAAGGCGGCTTATCCTAAGGTGTTTGCTCTCTACTTAGCCTATGTGGTCTTTTTTCTTTTTAATAGGTGATTGATTGGTCTCGGGGATGTTAAAATAGCAATAGACTGTTATTTGGACTTGAAGTGCTAGTAAACTGAAGTTATTATTATTTATGTACACAGATTTATATTCTGCCGATCCGTGATCTCTTTTTTCTGCCCTCCTGAGGAAAGCGACCAGTATCTTCCACTTTGTTTACCTCATCTACCCTCTTCTGTTGCACCAACGTCTGAAGCCGTGCGTTCTGCTGTTGTGCAACTTGCCATGCACTTTGACGTTGCTGACTCCTTTCACTTTACTGAAACATAAGTTGGATCTTAAAAAGTAACGAGTAATATGCTAGGCTTACATGCAGGCATTGGAAGCTAAGGATCCTCAGATTTAAAACATAATGAGTTGACCTTTCCGGCGACAGGACAAGGGTATTTATGTGGGGCCTGGGCTGTCTGGTCAAAAAGGAAATTGTTGGTAATTGTTGCCTCTGCTTGATGTGTTGCTCAATTCGACCCCACCTGCTTCATTGATCTATATATGTTGTATTTGGTGGTGTGCTCTTTACTGTTAAGGTTAGGTCATCTTGATGCCTGGTGACTTTTCATTTGTTTGGTCGTGGCAAGATAATTTTGTTTTTGTAGCGTGGCAACATAGTTGTTAGTTTAAAATTAGTTGTATTTGTTCATACTCCATAGCTTTGAAAAGGAAAACAAAAACAGGAAGTCATTGTTAATTTTACCTCTCTTTTAGAAGAATTGGACGGTATTTAAACAGCATTGATTGAGGAAGATGTATTCTGAGAAAAACGAATTCTGTCAAAACTCGAAAGTAAATTTCTCATCTTGTATACTCGTTTTCAAATCATATATTTATACATTGAAAGTGCCACGAAACGTGATACCATCGTTGTGATAGTATAATCTGGTAGACAACAAATAACTATCTCGTGTAAATACTAACGAAGACTATTATTAATAGTTAAGCAGAAGATAAGAGGCTTCGGAAAGGGAAAAAAACTGTTAATTCTCTTTAATGCATGATGCAAATTCCATATTACCGATCTTTTTTTATAAGAAACTAATAATAATGTTTAAAATACTACTATATTAAGGATCAAACAAAGTATTAAACAACAAACTTATAAATAATATTCATAAAAGTGTCATAGGCTAGTGTTCAGAAAATTAGAAAATAAAAACTAAATAATAATTCTAGCTCTAATCATTTTATTTCAGGGATACCTTTACTCTCTTTTATATGCACAATATATCTTTACTGTCCTAAATATTTTCAGGTTGACGGAATAATTTTTATAAGGACTGAAGTGTATCAACAAAACATCAAAATGCATCTTCATCCACATGCCAACAATGTATTGAATTAGTAATTTCTTTTGAAGATAACAAACAGTGTGTAGGAGTATTTTAACAAGTAAAGGAAAGTATCTATCTCATTTGATAGTCAACAAAATAGTTATTTATTGCCAATACTATGAACATTACCATTATCAAAAGCTAAAGACTAGACTAATATTTTTCTTATGTCATGATACACATTGCAAAACCTACATTAAATAATAGACATAATGAATGATAATCATACAATAATCAATACCTAGTCTTTAGGGATTTAAAAATAAAAAATAAAAAATATTATAAATAATATCCCAATACTCTAAACAAAGTTTATAAAAATCTTAAACCAGTTAATTTTAATTTCTTAGTCTTCTAGACATAGTCTATCACAAACATTACTTGGTTTTACTCATTTTTTCTTTAGTCAAATTAGAAAATTTTCCATTTTCTAAAAAATTTAAACCTATGTTCTTTAGTTTACTAAAGACCCAAACGGAAAAGTTCCATGTTGGTTCAAAATTAGGACGTATATATAAAATAGTCAGACAACAACAATAACGTCTCGTGATATTAGATATTATTAGATGAGTTTGACGACATGAACCTTAGATAAGTACTTTAAGATATATTTCACAGATACGAAGATATGAAACAAAAGGAATTAGGAAAGTTGTAGTTGCACATACTCCATGCTCACTTGCCTTGTCTCAGTTTCACTGACAAACACAACCGTTGCGCACCAACGCCACTCCCTCTTTCTGCTCGCCACACTCTTCTCCTCCACTCGCGATGTCTACCACGCCAATCTCAACATCACCGCCCTCTCTCGCGCTGGAAACGTCGAAGCCGCGCGCAAACTGTTTGACGAAATGCCCACAAAAGACGTCGTCACGTGGAACTCCATGCTCTCCGCTTACTCACAAAACGGCCTTATCCAACATTCCAAATCACTCTTCCACTCCATGCCGCTCAGGAACGTCGTTTCCTGGAACTCCATCATTGCCGCGTGCGTCCAAAATGACGACCTCGATGACGCGTTCCGCTACTTCACCGCGGCGCCGGAGAAGAACTCCGCCTCGTACAACGCCGTGATATCGGGACTTGCGAGGTGCGGGCGGGTGGGGGACGCGCAGAGGCTCTTCGAAGAGATGCCGTGTCCGAACGTCGTGTCGTATACCACCATGGTTGATGCTTACGCGAGGGTGGAAGGTGGGATTGGGCGCGCGAGGGCGCTGTTCGAAGCAATGCCTAGGAGGAACGCGGTATCGTGGACTGTGATGATCAATGGTCTAGTGAGTAAGGGGTTGTGTGAGGAAGCGTGGGAAGTGTTTGTGAGAATGCCGCAGAAGAATGATGTGGCGAGGACCGCTATGATTACAGGGTTTTGTAAAGAAGGGAAGTTGGAAGAGGCCAGAGCTTTGTTTGAAGAGATTCGATGCAGAGATCGCGTTTCTTGGAATATTATCATAACGGGTACGCGAAGCTTTAACATTCTAAATATGTGTAGTAAGTACCCTCTAGTTGTTTGCTTGTTACCAATAGTGTTTGTGATTCTTATTGTAATTTTAAGAAAGGAAAATTATAGGCAAACACGTTTTAAAACACAAACATCCACTCAACACCTATTGAAAAATATGATTTTTGCATATCATTTGGTGTCTTACTCTTTGACGAAAGTGTTCTTTTTAATTTGATTTTTTTTTTTTTTTTAATGTAGTAGATAGGTAGAGATTGTACGAAAAAGGCCAGGTTTTTAGATTCTAGTTATTTTGTTATTAGTTTCTTTTATAAAACAAGATTTAATGAAAGCGATGCAGCAATAGCATGTATTCTAGCATGCCTCGGATCAAGTCTGACTTTGGCTCTACAGTATTTTTTAAAACAAAAACTTGTAGTCCAGGAGGAGGAGGTTGTTTTCTTCTCCTCTGTCATTGCATATTTTTTGCTTTTATTATTCCATCTTTTCACAATTGATTCACCATTTGTAGGTTATGCCCAAAATGGAAGAGGGGAAGAGACACTAAATTTGTTTTCACAAATGATCAGGACTGGCATGAAGCCAGATGACTTGACTTTTGTTTCAGTTTTCATTGCCTGTGCAAGTCTTGCATCAATTGAAGCCGGAAGACAGGTGCACGCTCTTGTAATTAAGCATGGCTTTGATCCAGATTTGTCGGTGAGTAATAACCTGATTACTATGCACAGCAAATGTGGTGGCATTGTTGATTCTGAGCTAGTTTTTGGACAAATTTCCCATCCAGACCTAATTTCATGGAACACTATCATTGCTGCCTTTGCACAACATGGTCTCTATGACAAAGCACGCTCCTACTTTGACCAGATGGTGACAGTCAGTGTTCAACCTGATGGCATAACTTTTCTGAGTTTACTCTCTGCGTGTTGTCGTGCTGGGAAGATCGATGAGAGCATGAATCTATTCAGTTTGATGGTTCATAATTATGGTATTCCACCAAGGTCTGAACATTATGCTTGCTTAGTTGATGTGATGAGTCGAGCAGGTCAGTTGCACAGAGCTTGCAAAATAATCGATGAGATGCCATTCAAGGCAGATTCCAGCATCTGGGGTGCTGTGCTTGCGGCCTGCAGTGTTCATTTAAATGTGAAATTGGGGGAACTGGCAGCAACAAGAATTTTGAATTTGGATCCTAATAATTCTGGTGCTTATGTTATGCTGTCTAATATATATGCTGCCGCCGGCAAGTGGAAGGATGTCCATAGAATCAGGGTTCTGATGAAAGAGCAAGGAGTTAAGAAACAAAGAGCATATAGTTGGTTGCAGATTGGAAACAAAGTCCATTATTTCGTTGGAGGAGATCCATCACATCCTAATCTTAATGATATTCATGTTGCTTTAAGGAAGATAACATTACACATGAAATTAAAAAGTGATTATGAAGATTTTTTGTAAAATTCTACAAGTTGTGAAGATAAAATTACATATTTATAGAACAATTTATAACAGCACTCTATGTAAGTTAGAGTTCCGAATTATTGCATGCTACCCAAAGGGAGTGTGACATTGTCGTAAACAGGATCTACATAATGAATCCATAATCTCAATCGAAAAAGAATTGAAATGGATGGATATATTTCTTGAAACAAATGAAAAACAAACCATAGACCATAGATCAATTAAGTCCTTGATTTTTCTTCTCTTTTTTGTTCTTATTTTACTTATTTTCCTTTTGATTGTAAAAGAAATTGTAGGACAATGTTACAAAGAAGTAATTTCTCCAATGTCTTACATACATTTTCCTATCTCATGATAAAACTGTACGTTGTTATTGAATTGAGATTGTAAAATGTGATCGCTTCAAAATATTGGCGGAAAGTGTGGTTGTGGAAGATGCTAGCAAAATTTGGTGTAACTGAAAAATGCTTTTATTTGAGATGAATACGGTGTAGTTAAATAAGACATAGACTTCCATTATCTTTTTAGTTATATGCAACATGGACACTGATACACTGTTATCCTTTTATGCCTTTCTATAAGAAGGAAACATTACACCATCAGGGACCAGACATGGAACCGGAGCTTGCAATCCCTGTTGTCCTACCATTCTAGGAAGCAACCTTCGTGATAATAACAATTTTGTTAACTCATTCTTTATTTCAAAGAAATATATGTATATAAAAACCTAAATCCAACTATAATACTATCTCTTACAAAAAAAATAGCATTAAAATTGAGTTATTAGTCGTTTTCCCCCTGATGAGGTTGGAGTATGTTTTAGGCTTTCCTTGCTGAAAATTTGAAGATTGTGGTGTCACCATCCAAATATGTTAAATTTTTCAAAAAAAAAAACGGCAATCAATCATTCACTATAAACTCCACAAAATGAGGTTTGTTTGATATATGTTGAAGAATAAATAAAGAATTCAGAGATAAGACGCAAATAATTCTAAATTATTGGGAAAGACGTAATATCATTTACAGCA